CTATGGAAACCCCCATCTGATCAAACCCATTCCCCTCAAACCAGCACAGGATGCACACATTCAGGGACAAACACAGCAGGTGCAATCTCTCAGCATGTCTGTGACTCAGTTTGTGTTATCTGTAAATGCTTGAATGTGTAAAACAAAAAGTTTTACTCTCTCTTAGGATACAGAAATGGACTCAAAGCACCTCTCAGTTGTCACTTTGTTTGGTGCTCAGTCAAAGCTGGACTGTGTCTCACCGCAGCCCAGCTCATCTGGCATCAGGGTAGGTCCAGCACGGTCTGCGGTGGCCCGCTCCCTGTCTTATGATGATCCTTCTCCGGCAGGGGGCGCTGTGGTGTCCAGCAACCCCATGCAGCACTGTCCAGCCATCCACAAGCTCATGTCTGGTTCGCTGCTGCAGCCTCTGTCTGAATCTCCAGAGAGTCGTCTGTGTGAAAACGGGGCAGCCCAGAACCAACCTGACCCAATACAAAAACTGCTAATGAACCCTCCTCCTGTGGCGGGCACCCCTGGGATGCCTTCCCTGTTATTAAGTCAGGGAGAGTGTGGAGTGGGGCCCCAATTCCACAATATGGCTCAGCCCCGGATCCATGTCCCAACTAAAGCGCCGACTGCTGGAGTGGCAGGAAATGTGGTGACGCCTCATGAGCTTCTGCAGAGGCTCACATTGGTACAGCAGGAGCAAGAGCTCCATCCCCGTCAGGAGCTCCTACAGCCCAACCTGACCGTCAGCAGCTCCAGTCTCAGCCAACCCAATTTGACTCAGGTGAAATCAATTATTTTGATTAAACTATTTGGGAATCTTTAGGCATCTGTTGCATTTATGCTCCTTACACAGACATCTTCAACTTTCAGATAAAGTCGTTCTGAAGCATCCTGTATCTGTAACCTGTGATTTAATGTGTGTGTGTGTGTTTGTGCGGGTATGGGTGCAGGTGATCTCACCACAGCGTATCCCAGCAACTATAGCCCCCACCCTCCTGTCACCCAGTGTCTTCGTCCAGACTAAAGCCACACGAGCAGAACCAGCTGAACCCAGAGCACTTAGCAAGATTCAACTTCAGGCTACATTGATCCACCTTATCAAGGTCAGAACCAAACCTATGTCCATCTGGATTATTACAATATTAGAGATGCACCAACATTTTGACACACACACACACACACACACACACATATATATATTTAAACACAAACACACACATATACACAGTATATATATATATATATATATATATATATATATAAAATCGCATACATGCATGTATAAAATTGTAATTAATTATATATTATATTGTGAAATTAGTATAATTTAAAATTACTTTTATATTTGATACTTTTTATTTTTTAATTTAATTTATTCCTGTGATGGCAAGGCTAAGTTTTCAGCAGCCATTAATACATTTCCTGCTTAATAATTTTGTGGAAACTGTGGTACTTTTTTCAGGTTTCTTTGATGAATAGAATGTTCCAAAGAACAGTGTTAATTTGAAAAATAAATAAAAGTATTAATATTTTAAACTTAAAACTTTTGAACAGTAGTATATCTAACATTAATAGAACTAAGTCCAGCAATATTTTTCTTATCAAAAGAGACCCTCAGTCTTAGTGTGTTTGACTGTGATTGCTGCACTACCTCTATTAATGATTGGTTTCTCTCTTTCTGTGATTCAGAATGATGCCTCATTCCTGGACACCATTTATGAAGCATATGTCTCCCGTCTCGCAACAGACTTCAGCTCGAAACCTTTCTAAAGCAGGAACACCATCTGAGCATGTACATATACATGCAGCTTTCACGCTCTGAACACATATCTGCATCCCATCTCAGGACGACCCTAATGTTCTGAGTGTAGCGTCCAATGAGTTCAGCTCCTCAGCAACAGATTCACAACAGGAAAACCAGTTTGGCTGCAAATTGTATTCATTTTAGAATTGCCATTTTTTTAACAAGTGGGAATCTTAAGTATTTTGCTTTTTGGAATGAGAATTTTATAATGGAAATATAATTTAGCTTTCAGCCATCAGGGCTGGAAATGTGCTGTCTGTTGAGATGGAAAGACATTCTTCTTTTTATGAAGACATTTTTACCTCTGCATATCTAAACAAACCCACAAAAGAAAAAAAACAGGACTGTAGCCTCAAATATAGAAATAACATGACGAATAACAAGACAAACATGTTTTGTCTTGGTTTCTATCATCTATCATAAAATCCCAGCCGACACCGACAGAAGGCGTCTTCATCCCTTCACAAGCCAGCAGGAAGAGTTTACTCATTTTAATCACATCTTTAAATTGAAAATGGATTTTGTTTAAATGTACAAATAAGAGTGTACATATATATATTCTATTTTTCTATGGTGTGTTACTTCTGTTCTTATATCAACATGCTGGAATATTTTAGGTTCCCTTTTTAAAAAAAAAAAAACAACCCAATACCATGACATCAGTGTTTTCCAATCAACGGGTTAACTTTTAAAACAATTATTTTCTTCCATTTGTTTTTCTTATTAAAATAATGTTTAACACCCCATATAGTGTATGCTCTCTGATCTTATTGGTTTAACATGCTACATGTTATCTGTTATGGCTGAAGCCTGTGTGAAAGGTTTCATCATACACTACCATTCTAATGTTTAAGATCAGTACGGTATTTTTAGTTTGTTAAAAACAGCATAACTGTTTTTAAAATTAATAATATGAACAGTTTCTTGAGCAGCAAATTAGAATAATCTCTGAAGGATCATGCAACACTAACGGGATTGAACCGGATTAAAATCTCAGGACTTTCATTGTTTTAAGGCCCATTCACACAAAGAACAATAACTATATTAGTGTCCACACTAGCGGTCGATGTCATTCTGTTTATTATAATGCTCAAGCTCTTTAAAGCAGGATGGATTCTGATTGGCTGTCAATGTTTTTAGCATTCATCAGTTAGCGTTTACCTGTATATTTGTTGTGTGGATTCTTTTAGAACAATTTATATATATATCGGGGCATATAGGCGTATTATTATAGTTATTGTCCTTGGTCTGAATCGGCCTTTATTGTCAACATTTGTAAACTAATAAGTATAATTGTTTAAATCTGTTTAATTCAAAGGATTGTTACCTGACATACAAATAGAAATCCTTATACAGTAATTACAAACAATTAGAAAAAGTCATAGAATTTGATTGGTTAAAGGCTGTGCGCACCCTTTTAACGAGTTATCTTGCTGCCCTACCCCATCAGTTTATTAAAAATCAAACGGACAATAAAAAAATCATAACAGTTCTAACCAGATGCATGGTTAATACACTATGAATTTATTAAACAATATGCTGAGAATTGTATGTTGCCTTCTACACGTGGATTACATAATGTAGGTTTTGAACAGAAATATGTATTTGGATAAAAACGGGGAGATTTAAAGAGTTAAAAAGTTAACTTTTGTCACAGTACTGTTCAAAAGTTTGGGGTCAAGTTTTTCCATGTTTTTGTTAGAAGCCATTTATGCTAAGACTGCATTAAAAAATATTATCACTATATGAGAAAAACTGATTGAAAGTTTAGAAAGAACAGCAATGAATATAAATAAAGCTGTCAGCAATCTTTCCTGACACTTTTTTCAATCAATCTAAACTGAATAAAAGTATTAATAAAAAATAAAAAATCTTATTGACCCTTTCATTTTTAACTTTCTTCTTTCCTCAGTCAAATTGTCAATAGCAATTAAATTCATCAAAACCAATCTCATAATATATCTTTCACAATAAAGCTTAAAATTGTTCTCTCTTGCATGAGTAGTGCAAAATGCTTCATTATGTAATCAGTCACAGTCTCCTTCATTGTCACAAGACTGAAATCCTCAGCTCACATCTGCAAGCATAAGCACACTTAGTGCAGGTGTGCATCTTTCTGAAGGATGGAAGCCGTTATCTACACTAACTAGGTCAGCGGATGAAATCAAGAGCATGCCATCTGGACACTGAAACTCACAATCCTGTATTGTGTGTGTGTTTGTGTGTTTTAGGGAAACAGAGCGGTGCATACAGATTGTTTTTACAATAAAGTAGAAGTCATGGTATCAAATCAAGACAAAAATATTTGGACTCTTCTTCAGTAGATATCAAAAATTACATTAGTGTAATGTGTTCATAGTTTATGTGATGAATAGCATGCGTGAAATTACTTTATAGCATGCACTGTTCAAAACTCGGGTCAGTAAGATTTTTTTTTTACTTAAAATACTTTAATTTAGCAAGGAGGCATTAAAGTGATCACATGTGCCAGTAAAGATGTTTTTCATTTCCCAAGAAACTGTGTTTGCTCATAAACCTTTTTCGTTTTATTAAAAAACTGCTCTTTTGAAAAACTTGTGATGAAATAAAACGAGCTGGGAGGAAACAATATCAATATATTTCAATGCTTTGGCATGTGAATGCAAATTTTCTCAAGGGAACACAATAGTTCATAGAGAAAGCGCAAATGTTCTGCAAGCCAACTAAAAGTTTCTCGGGGGAAAGCAATACTATTACAAGTGAATACAATAAATATTATTTTTCATCCCATCCCATCTCTTTTTTTTTTAACCATCACCATGTCTCTTTAGGGGCTCCACACAGTAAAAATCACTTTGGGCAGTTTAAAAGTCAATACTTATAGCTCAGAAAAATTAGCGCAATGACATTCATACATTTCAAGTGCCGCTTCAGTGTCCCTTTTTGTTGCAAGGTTTAGTTTCCTTCTTTTTGACTGAACAGACAATGGCCATGTCCCGAAACACTAATTATCCTCTAATAGAAACCCTCTCCCGCTCACCCTTTTCTCTTTCTTTTTATCTCTCTATTCCAATACATCTGCCCCACACCCACCCTACATACTCCACATCTCTCTCTCCCCCACTGTGGAAGTTGTGAGAGTGTAATCCATGTGGATTATCATAGTGGGGAGGGCAAAGGGAGGTAAGTGTTTCTGCTTCTGTTTCAGTTCCTCCCAGCTGTGTTGAACATAAGATGAGCATGAAAGAGAAGAGAAGACATCGGTGGAACTCCTAGAGGATTTGTATAAAGAAATGGTGTGACGAAGAGAATGATGAAAAGAAGAGATGTAAACATCAAGGGGGGATGATCAGGAATGGGGATAAAAGAGCCGGATGTCATTATTTCACAAGAACTTTCCAAGAAGATTTCTGTGCCATCCAAAACACACTTCTGAAGCTTCCGGAGTTTCTGTTGGCTACAATCTGATATCAAGACTAGGCTGGGATTACCGCAGATAGTGAGCTGGAGATCACACAAACTGCTGTTTTAGGCACCTGTCAGGTGTTGATGAGAAGGATGAAGGGTATCACACTGTTTTGGGTGCTGTTTTCAAGTTGGACCATCCAAACACAAGCTCAGATGAGGATACCGCCTGAAACGTGAGTTCAGTTCATCTCAGCACAAGTTTAGCTTAACGCTCTAAACACTTCCAAACAACCACACAGCTACACAGCTACAAGATATGCACAATGTGAGAGAAACAATCATCTTTTTAGGCCCCTGTATTACTAAATGTAACATAAATGTGGACTTTGCCCACACACATTTAAAAAACTCATAGTACAGATGAACCACTTTAACACTCCTCTGAATCCTTGTGCAGAACTGCAGTATGTCCCCAGATCTCATCTTAATGCGTGCAGGTCATGACCCGCACACCTCCTGTCACTGCTTGAATAGAGCAACTGTAAAAGCACTATAAGCCAAAGCTTAACCTCCAATTGGCAACATTTGCTCAAAATCCACACACACAGCCTGTTTGAACAGACTTTTTGATCTCTCTGAGGGCTAATTTAGTTCCTGAAAGTCCAATTATGGAAAACATGCTAATTTTAATTAGCTTAAAATCTTTAGTCACACACTTTTAGTCAATATCTTAGTACACTACCATTCAAGTTTGTGGTTGGATTTTGTAATGTTTTTGACAGAAATCTGCTTACAAAGGGAACATTTATTTTTTATTTATAGTAAAAACTGTAATATTGTGAAATATCACTACAATTCTAAATAACTGTTTTCTCTTTTTAAAAAAAATTAAATTTATTCCTGTGATGGCAAAGCTGACTTTTTAGTAGCTATTTTTCTAGTCTACAGTATCACATGGTCCTTCAGAAATTATATGCTGATTTGCTTAAGAAATATTTTATTATCAGAGTTGGAAACAGTTGAGCTGCTTAATATGTTTGTTGAGACAGTGATAAATCCAGGATTCTTTGATGAATGAAAAAAAACAGCATGCTTTTGTGACATTATAAATGTTCTTAACGTCACTTTTGATCAATTTAATGTGTCCATGCTGAATAAAGGTATTCATTTCTTTCAACAACAAAAAAAAATCTTCCTTACTCCAAACTGCTACACTACATATTTTCATCCAATCAAATGTTCTCTAGAATGAGAATGTCCCTCCCTTAGACATTTTATTGTCTGAAATGGCAGTTACTTCATATTTATTTTAAGATCCATTTTAAAATTAATTCGATTTAATGTTTAATGCTTTTCGTTTGTGTTTTGAACAGGGTTCAACAGTGGGCCACTGCCTTTGGAAAACAGATCCAGGCCTTATCAAACAGATACTCAGGTGCCCAACTCTTACAAAAGGTTTGTCTATTATGCAGCAAAAGAATGAGTTATGACTCTTCTGCTGTTTAGCACTGCAATTATATTTTTTACTCCTAATTATACTGAAATTTGTCTTTACCTCCTTATTTCAATCCTAATATCAAAGCAATCAGGGACATTTCTGATATTTTCTGATGATCTGCAGAGGAAGCAGGTTTTATCTGTAATTAGCAATGAGTCTAACTGCTGTGTTATGTGCAGCTGTGTCCAGTTATCTGGCATCTGTTTGAATTCACACTACACTCTAATTAAAACTATTTTGTACTGTTAACCACAGACCCTGTGCCAGCCTACGAGCAGCCCATCTGCATCCCAGAAAGACATTTAATGACCAGTCTATACTGTATCTGAGCTGAATATGTAGGTGTTCTTTCACCTTAAGGCCCTTTATTAGTGCAGCACAACAGCAGAATGTGCCAGAAAAGTGAGGCAGGAAGAGGATTAACCTTCCCAGACTGCAGCATCTCCTCCTCCCTCTATTCCTTCTCTTTTTTTTTTTGTTTTTGTGGGTCTAATCTAAGCTCAGAATAAAGCCTGGTACTCTTACAGTGTTTTGTGGAGGTGGATTATCCCTGTCTGACCTTGTGTTCCAATAGCCATGGTGGAGAGGATTCATTGAGTGCTGATCTAGGGTTTGACCTTTGCTTTAAACAAAATGACCCCATAAAGATAGTAATACTAGCAATTTTTTTAACTTGTGGGGAAATTTTTTGGTCCCAATTAGGAAAACAGCTTATAAATCATACTAAATTTTGTTTTTTGAAAATGTTAAAACGCAGAGATTTTTTTTCTGTAAGGGGTTGTGTTTATAGGAATATTCAGTTTGTACAGTATAAAAATCATTATGTCAATAAAATGTGTGTGTGTGTTTGTTTGCATCTGTGCATAGAAATATAAAGATGTGGAGCCCATTATTAAGATGGTGGAAGTGGATGGTAAAAAGATGGTGAAGGAATTTGCAGAAGAAATGGAGAACATGCTGGGCAGGAAGATGAAGTCGGTCAAGGTCAGAGAAATCAGTATATTGTAGTAATGTGTAATTCTAAACAGTTTAGAAACAAAATATTATACATTTTTAATTATTAAATTATGAATTAAATTATTAATATTAAATTAAATTATTAGTTGTTTGTTGTTTTTTGGATGATCAAAAAGAAGGCAATCTCCTGAATTTATTTTAATGTTTTATACAGAGAATGGCAGAGATAGCAGAGGATGCAGACTTATATCATGAATATAATGCCACATTAGAGGTGAGCTATATCTTCGTCCATCCTTCCCCTTATTCTCCTGTTCATCCCTCAGTCTATATTCATATATTTACACTTGTCGTTCTGCAGTTTGACTACTACAACTCCATGATGATTAACAAAGTAAACGAGGATGGGAACAATGTGGAGCTGGGGGGTGAATTTCCTCTGGAGGAGAATGAACACTTCAACAAACTGCCTGTCAATACTCAGCAAAGTGTCATACAAGTGCCCACCAATGTCTATAACAAAGGTAAGACACAGTGCATTTTCATCCCTGATTAGAAACTGAAAATAAAGCAGATCTCTCTCTGTCTCACAGATCCTGATATCCTGAATGGAGTCTTTATGTCAGAAGCACTGAATGAGGTATTTATCAGTAACTTTGAGAAGGACCCGACTCTAACCTGGCAATACTTCGGCAGTTCAACTGGATTTTTCAGACTTTACCCAGGTAATCATCAACAGCCTTAGCCCTCCAAATGCAGCATTGCAGGTTACTGAACATGCAGTTTTGCTCATTCAGACACAAGACAGAGAGATGAGAGTCTGATTGACACAAAATTACTAGTGTAATTATTTGACAATGACTCTCTACCTCTCTCAATCATCATCATGTCATCACAGTATTGACACAGTAACCAAACTGAGAAACTCAGGCTTCCCAGATCTTACATGCAAATGGGCACAGACGGGGAGGAGATAGTAAATTAATTCAATTCTATGATTTTTAAGGTATCCAGTGGACACCTGATGAAAATGGAGTTGTCACTTTTGATGGCAGGAATCGCAACTGGTGAGTTTGAACGTGTGTGGATGTACTGTATAAAACTACAATAGTGTCCATTGTCCAGTCAGTTTTTCCTTTTGTAAGAAATGAACACTTAATCAGCAAGTATACATTAAATTGATGGGAAAAAGTGACATTTACATTTTTATAAAAAAAAAAAACATATTAGAATGATTTATGAAGGGTCATGTGAGGATAAGAGACTTCTTTGTAAGTCATTAAAAAAACCTGACCCCAAACTTATGAACGGCAGCGTACACTTCAACATCAACTAGTCTGTGGGATGTGTAAGTGGCAGCTGAATGTATTGCAAAAGAATGCATCAAAATGAAGGGGTCTTGTGTCTTTAAAAGTTGAATTATTTTTAACATGACACCTTAAAAATGTGACGCTCATGACAGAAATTCAAAAACTGTCAAAGACTTAAGGCAACATCAAAAGATTAGTGGTGTGGCCGCAGTCCAGGGTCAAGAAGCAGCAGGTCGGATCTCAGTGAACGATTTTAATCTAGGTTCTTTTCCGTGACTGACTGCTTCATCTGCCCGTTTTCCTTAAACACCTTCTGCCAGGACTAACACTATTACAGCTAATGCACACAATCTCTTTAGCAGTAATGAAAGCAGAGTACTGACCCGTTGTATTGTGTGACGTTCCTTTATCTAACAGTTACAATGAGTACTTGGTGTGTATAAATATTCTGAGTAGTTCTGAGACACGAGTAAGTTAAAAAACTACAAGTAAGCCAATTAAAAATGTGAATAACGGACTATTAATGTAATGTTCAGTCTTCAGTTTCAGTCTCTCTCTCACTCTCTCAAAGTGATCTCATTATTTCCTTCTCTCAGAACATTACCCAGATGAGATTTCACGCACTGTTATCCGGTTGAGGAATTATTAGTGAAAGGTCTTCTTGGCTGTTTGTTAATGGCAATATGAGTTATTCTGGCCATCTGTTTTTTTCTTTTTTTTTTTTTTGTCATCTTTATTAGTTTTAGTTTTTTAAATATTTCTATTTAACTTAATTTGCTTTTGTCAGTTTAATCCTTGCCAGGGCAATATTTCTAGGTTTTTCATCAAATATTTTTCTTTTATTTTCAGCTTTGTTTCAATTAACGATTTGTAATCTTTAAAAAAGTTTCTCTCAAACTGTATGACAAAGTATCCTTCATTTAAGAGAACACTTCTGTTTTGTTCTCTCTCTCAGGTACATCCAGGCAGCCACGTCCCCCAAAGACATCATCATCGCTGTGGACATCAGCGGCAGCATGAAGGGTCTGAGGCTCACTATTGCAAAACACACCATCAACACCATTCTAGACACACTCGGCGAAAACGACTTTGTCAACGTCATTGCGGTAAGAACAGAAATTTCCAAACTAAACCTCCCTTATGAAAAAGAAGTATACTTCAAGTTCATTTTATGAAGTATACTAAAGTAATGTTCAAGTATATTTTAAAATATAATTATATATTAAGTATACTAATGTCAGTATTGTAAGTGTACTGTTTTAATACCTAAATTGGCCCACTTTTAGTATATAAAAGTATATGTTTAAGTGTACTATAAGTGTAACAGTAGTAAACTTTAAGTGCACAAGTACATCATAATTATGTTTCTCATTTGTACTGCAAGTGAACTTATGGGTGTACTAGTAGTTTACTATTTTAACACTTGTAGCACAGCATGTTTAGTTTATGAAAGTACACTTTAAAGTACACTACAAGTTTAGTAAATTCATACTACAAGTTTTCTTTCTAGGGAAAGAGTAACGTAAAATTAAATTAAATTCCTATGTACACTACCAGTGGACTAGCCTACACAACAATTCAGAATTAGAAACATATCTTTTGTATATCAATATTTTAATCAATATTTTCAAACAATGTACTGTAAGTTTCATAACACTATAAAAAAAGTAAAAGGGTATATTTAATAGGCTACTCGATCAAAAGAGTTAACACAACTACAAGCCAAGTATACTTTGAATACTGAATTATACTTTTAAGTATATCTCGATGAAAAAAAATTTAATATACAGCCCAAATATACTTGGACTTTTCTCTCAGTAAAAGTCAAGTACACTTAAGTGTAATTTTAAGTATATTTCTGAGAAGTACATAACGTATATTTTTGATAAGTATGTAAAATGTAGACTGAAAGTATGCTTTCTTATTTTTTGTTGAAAAGAAGTATAGTGAATTAACGTATTTTTCGTAAGGGCAGGCTTTACACAAAACAGGTGGCAAGCAATACAATTTCTTCCATGTAAATCTAAGTTATTATCCTCAATAAGAGTTAATATCTTCTCCCTTTCCAGTACAGTGATTATGTCCGGTATGTAGAGCCCTGTTTTAAAGGCACGCTGGTACAGGCCGACCTGGATAACCGTGAGGTAGTTAAACGTTTCCTCTGAGCATCCTCTGATTTCAGTTGCCAGTTGATATTTTAATATTTGCTGCATTCATGCATTCTAATTCTTTCCAGCACTTCAAACTTTTGGTGGAGAAATTGCAGGTAAAAGGTGAAGGAAAGGTGAAGAAAGCCATGAAAGAGTCCTTTAAGATTCTGAACGAGGTGAGTGTTGGTGTTTAAGGGGATGTATATTTATCCATATAGAAATACTGATATATCAAAAGGCTCTGGGTGTGCGTAGGCAGCAGCAGAAGGCAGGGGTAGTTTATGTAACCAGGCAATAATGCTGATTACTGATGGAGCTATGGAGGATTTCCAGAAGGTGTTTGAGGAGTTCAACTGGCCAGACCGCAAGGTACCAAATGTGCACAGACAAACAAAGAGTCACTATGGATACATGCTTTACCTGTGTACATAAACTGATAACATAATACGCTATCAAACAGGTGCGCGTGTTCTCATATCTAATTGGACGAGAGCTAACATTTGCTGACAATGTCAAATGGATTGCCTGCAACAATAAAGGTGAGATCCTAATGCAATTAAAGCAGAGCATTGCGGGAAACTACATGAGCTAGTGAGTTATATTATTTGTACAGAAAATGTGCGATGTGCACACTTTGTACAGTTTTTATAATCCAAATGTTTTTGTGAGCACAATTGTTTCAATTCCCATTTCTTTTCCAGTCATTTGTTACAGCATTTAAAAAAAATCGCATTAATGTATATTTATATTTTAGTTTTATTTATGCATCATTATGGTATTTATTAATTTTATTTATTTCAGTTTACATTAAAATTTTTGTAATTTGTTCTTTAATTTAATTAATTCTTCTTATCTTTTATTTTATTTTAGTTTTAGTAATTTAGTACTTAAACTAGAACTTAAGTTAATTGGCAAGACAACATTTCTAATTTCTAAGTTTAAAGTTTTTCCTCTATTTATTTATTTCATCAATATTTTGATTTTTCTTTATTTCAGCTTTACTTCACTTAGGCTACTAGAAATTTTTAATAGTTTTACTTTTTTTTTTACAATAACAACACTGATAACAAAGAGCAGTTTCAAGCCAATGAAATATGTTAGACCCAAGCAAAATTGCATTGGTGATAGAAATATTCGCGACTTAAAAAGTAATATATATATATATATATTGTTTTTTGTTTTGTTTTTTCTCCTGCCTTTTCCAAGCTTGGAAATAACAATTAGGGCCTATAAAAATTATTGATATTTCCATGCTCTCCACAACCCGTTCTATAATAATTTAATTAAATATGGTGACAGCTGTGCCCTCTGCTGGTAACAGATAAATAAATCACATTTTTTTACATTACCATTGTTTTTGTGTGCTTGTAATTAGGTTACTACACCCATATCTCTACTCTGGCGGATGTGCAGGAGAATGTAATGGAATATCTTCATGTGCTGAGCAGGCCAATGGTCATCAACCATGATCATGACATCATCTGGACAGAGGCTTACATGGACAGTGTGGTGAGCTGCTTACCTTTACTCGTTCACTCTCTCTTTCTTTTTGCAGAAGTCGGTACTGTACCCAAAAGATGATGCTGCATATTGTCCCAAACCTTCATATTGATCATTTTTGTCTACATTAATCTTGAACCTCCCATGTTGTGATTTCATTATCTGATTCCGAATGTGATCTTGTTATGTCTGTTACTTCATTATGTCTGTCATTATTTACTGTCATCCCATTCCAGCTACCCAACACAGCTGAGGTAAATTATTTCGTTCTCCGCAGTAGATCGAAATATATCCTGTATACATCCAAATGCAATACTGTAGTTCAAGTGTTCTTGCAGTTTAGAGTTCATAGCCTCTCCTTTAGATATATTTTAGTTGTATTTAGAAAGTTTGAGATCTCTGTGAAGTTTTTAATTTAATCAAGGTCCTCATCAAATGTCTGGTAGAGTCAAAAGCAACCGGATTGCAGTTCTAAATGTGATTGTGCTGTTTTGTTAATTTGTGTATTAATGGGTGATCAACACGCCTTATATTTAATATGATAGCTACAGAAGCAAAAAGGAGCTACAGACACAGAGTTTCTTTATAATTCTGTTGATGCCGATGACTATACTGTACATGCCATGCAAATTATGCAATATAGACAGTAACAACTACACGTTTGGTCAAAACTGAGTTATGACTGAAATTGGGTCTGTCTGTCATGTGACAAATTTGTTTGGTAAGCTATGCTCAAATTTAGAGAGAAATTATATCAATTCATTCAAAAACTCTGAAGCCATTTTTCTCAGTTTCAGTGTTGGCGTAGTTACTGTGTTTTGGATAACACTTTATTTTGGGTAACTCTTGCGGTAATCATAAATGGATGCTTTAGTTCTTCATGAGTCATACATTAACTCAACATAATCTGTGCATTAGTTAAGCATGAATAATGTATTTTAGAGCATCTGTATTGCAAAGAGTTACAGTATTTTGCCTTCTGTTGCCTTCAAGGTAGAACAATAAGGAATCTACCTACCAGTGAAGCACCTGCTGGTCTCATTCAGGGTTTCATTCACTTCAGTTCACACACAGACCTGGCTGGGATTTACCATTAGCTCAGTCGGTTGTCTCTCTTTCTCTTTCAGCTTTTTAACACACAGGCTGAGAGTTTGCTGTTGATGACCTCTGTGGCCATGCCTGTGTTCAGCAAGAAAGAAGAAACAGTGAGTTGAATAAGGGAACGTGAGGCTCCAAAAAACAACAACAACAACAACAACAACAAAAAAAAGTCTGGACACAAACAGAAATCTTTTTCCTTCAGTTCATTCAACAAGGACAGAAAGGGGTGGAAGAATAATAAATGTCTAAAAATGGCTCATACATAATTAATAATTATTTAAAAATAAATATTTAATAAATAATACATAATTAAAATGACATTATTTAGGTTATTACTGTTTCTGCCATGATAAAAGTCCATCTCTAAATAAATAAAGAATAAATCATGTTTAAATAAATATTAATAAAAATTAACGAATTGGTTGACTGAATGATTAAAAAAAATCCTCAAAATGCTCACCACTAAATTATTATGTTACATAACAATTAATGTCGCTTTTTTCAGTTAAACTACAGTGGGAGTCTGTGATATTGGGACTATACTAACGTTAGCCTGCTAGGAGTTCGTCACATCCCTGATTTTTAATCTAATAAGCTCTCATAATCCAGCGAAATCATTAAATATACACTATTAAACACTCTTAACATGTTTATACAACTTATTCCGTTACAATTTGAATATATGACCCGACTTTATACCTAAAAATGATGATGACCATTTGTAAATAACATTTTCAGTCGACGCACTTTCTCCAGTCTGATGACGAAAAAAGAGCGCGGGTCGGGAATGCGATTATATAGCCTTGTCTGACCAGACAGAACTAATCAACTGATATGTCCTTGACAGCAGGGAATCGTTTAAATATATTTTATTCGCATCTAATACAATTTCATTACGATTATAAGTGAATTATTCTGAATTCTCAAAATTTGCTTTTGAAAACCAAACATAAATCATGAACGTTGCATTACTTCCGGTCCAGGTCTAGGGTGCTCTGTTGAGAAGCCTTCAAAGATGAAAATTGAAAATTGCATATGCAAATTGCATATGATGAAAATTGATTTCATACGATGAAAATTGCATATGCAAATTGATATAGGCTATAATAGCTTTTTTTTTCTTTTTTACTTTTTCTTCTTCTAATTAATATTCAAATATTAAAACTGAATAAAAAGTTATAAAAGTAACTAGTTTGGTTTGTTGATTACCTTCAAAGTCCATATAGATATCACCATTAGTTCATGCTGCAAACTCTACAACAAATGTGATGTGACCTGCTGAAGACCATTGACAATTTTAGAACATCAGTTCAATTCATCCGTTTATTTTAAAATTGTATTGTTCATTGTATTGACTTTTCCTCTTTCTCTTTATGTGTAACGTTAGCTGTCTCATGGCATCCTCCTTGGTGTGGTTGGTACTGATGTCCCTTTAAAAGAGCTCATGAGATTGGCTCCTCGATACAAGGTGCAGTCCTCTGTTCAAAATAACGCTGATCACAAAGGGTCATTCACAGGGAGGGCAGACATCCATGTCGTACTGCATACAGAGATTGTTTAAACTGCTGACTGATTAATGTGATTTTACTGAATTTATTATTTTGACTTCTTTGCCGTTTCAGCTGGGAGTTCACGGCTATGCATTCTTAAATACTAATAATGGTTATATACTCTCTCATCCCGACCTTCGACCTCTGGTAAGATCCACACTATTACACAGATCTCACACCCAATACCTATTGTCAACAAGAGTTGATTACATTGTGTTAGTTTTGTATCTCATTAACGTTGATGTTTTCAATATTTTGTGTTAGTATAAAGACGGTAAGAAGCTGAGGCCAAAGCCTAACTATAACAGTGTGGATCTGGCAGAGGTGGAGTGGGAAGATACAGAATACGCAGTGAGTGGAACAACACACACACACAAACATAAACATTCACACACATCCATCACACCATTTTTAGATCAATTGCTTCAAGGTGTTTGTGTGTGTTGATCCTCTAGTTGAGAACGGCAATGGTAAGAGGGGAAAGTGGGACAATCTCTCTGGATGTCAGAGCAACAGTAGATAAAGGAGTGAGTTGATTTTGTCCTTTAATTCACTTCTTATAAGATTACTTTAGTTTGATTCATTCATTTCTATCCCATTACAACCTATCCGTGACTGTCATACTCACATGCCGACGTCTTCCCTTCTCAGAAGCGAGTTGTCTTCCTGAAAAATGAATATTATTACACCATCATCAACGAAACTCCATTCAGGTGAGGTAAATGTTTTGGAGTCTAAAACATGCTGACTGTATATTTAACTTCTGCTTTACTCTATGTTGTGTGTCTATGTTTTTAGTCTTGGAATTGTACTTACCAGTGGTCACGGGAAGAATTTTTTCATCGGAAATGTTTCTGTTGAAGAGGGTAAAGATTTTCAGATTATAAATCACTTGCCTGTCTCTGTTTGTAAATCCTCTCAGCCGTGTGGTTTTTCTGTCTACAGGCCTACATGACCTGACAGCATCTGATGTCACTATTGCTAATGAATGGTGGGTGTTAGTTAAGACTAACTAGATTAGAATCTGTAATGATTTGATATTTTCTGATTGTACGTTTTTTTTTTTGCTGTTTCAGGACATACTGCGAGACAGACATCGATCCACACCACCGTAAATATACACAGTTTCAGGCTGTGGTTCGATATCTGTTAGGGAAAGAACCAGACCTGGAGTGTGAGTTCTGCCTCAAAGGCTTTTAGACACTAGACTCAAAGTTTTAGCATAGTATTTGAGATTTTTATTCATGTAGAATTACAAATGAGTAAAAACAAAGCACCTACTTGTTGCTAGGTTTTGGCACAAAGCTAAATAATTAGTTGCACTCATAAATCATCTCATATCTTTGCAATTGCAATTCTCTGTACAGCATAACCACTTTCGTAGGCAATTCCACACAATTTGATCTGGATGATGCATGATGATACCGTATCTGCTCTTTCGTTCTGTTCCGTCTGTTCTTCAGGTGATGAAAGACTCCTGCAGCAGACTCTGTTTGACGCAGTCATCACAGCTCCCATGGAAGCCTACTGGACTGCACTGCTGCTCAACGCCTCCGGGTACTATTTCCCACCCACACACACAGCATCACAGACAAGTTTCATTAGTGAAATATGTGCTCGGCCGTGACTTTTCTCATTCTTTTGCACGCCTCCGATGTGCAGTATTGATGCGGGTGTGGAGACGGCATTCCTGGGCACACGCTCCGGCCTCATGAGGATGACCAGATATGTTGGCGAAGAGAAACGTGTGGGGAAGTGAGTAGATTTAATTAGGAACTCCGCATCACGACCGCATAAACCACATCTGCATTGCCATAGGTTTTCCTAAAGGGATAGTTCACCCTTAAGTTGTTCCAAACCTGTATACATTTCTTGGTAACACTTTACTTGAAGGGGTGTGCATGATAAGACTGACATGACATGATACATGTCATGAATGTGAAGGAGGTTTTATGGATGTTTATACATAACTCAACAAATGCTAATCTATATAATCAACATACATAGGTTTATATACAATAAAATATTAATCTCTTTTTGATGGTTTCTTTGCAGAAAATTCTTAACTCCATCTGATAAGGAGAATATTTTTACTCTGGACCATTTCCCTGTTTGGTATCGGCGTGCAGCAGAGAATCCAGCTGGAAGCTTTTTGTACTACGTTCCTATAGAGGACAACACAGGAGGTAGTCCCCACCCTGCAGTCCATATCTAAAGACTTTACTCCCTATTGAATGTATTGTGCTCAGTATTTATTTCTCTTTCCCTGCAGTGGATGGAAGGGTTGTGATTGCCGTCACGTCTGTTACAGTCACTGTAAAGAAAAAGACAGCAATTGCTGGAGGTATGACCTTCCCTGGCTATTCTTATCTTTTAATCTTTTTTATTAGTCTGTGGTGACCAAAGAACACCCATCGAGTTGCTATTATCTTTGTCCATTTTAAGCATGTGAGTGAGCACATTTACCCATGTTTGGATGCGCAACCATGTATGGTGTTCACCACTCCAATACGAACATCTCTTTTCCTCAACACAGCCTTGGCTTATGCTATTTTCTCATTACTCAAGCAGACACGCATAATTGATGACTTGTATTGTATTAATGCATTCATGAAAAGGAAAAAATAGAAAGGACAGGAAGTCGCTGGATAGGAAGTTGGGATACGTTATATGCTAGTATTCTCATTCCTTTAGCATTTGCTTTGAAACCCTGTAGAGCCCTCAAAAATAATCACAGGCAAAGCTGTTGTCTACTATAATATAGATGTTTTTTCAGCAGGGGCTAACTGTGCCATGGCAATCAGCCACCGCTTGCTTGACCCCTTCATTTCTCCATCCGTTTCGATTTTTTAATCTGGATCTCCCTCCATTTGTGTGAGAATATGAAGAAGCATATTTTATAATTTACTTTGAGCAAACTGTGTGTGAGTGCTTGCTGAATCTTACACTTGAACGTTTACAGAAATACATTCTTTATTCATTTTTAACACAGAAATATATCACAGATCACAAATCATATTTCAAACTGATTTTCATCAAGCGAAAATATAAAGAAGGATCTTATATCAGTCTTAGAAAAAAGGTCAAGTGAAGAAAGGGTCACATCAATAAGCTAGAAGATATTAAACCAGAACTTTATAAAGATCTTGAAGATGCTTTCAGCTCAGTCAAATGGGCAAATCCTTTCCTTTCATCAATCCAATGGGATTTACAAAGTGTGTAGTGAAGTGTGTGTGTGTGTGGTGTCCCTGCTCTTAAATGTAAGGCCAGGACCAAGAGTAAACACACCTCAGCAGAGTCATTGCTCATTTATATACCGCCCTTCATTTTCACTGGCATATTTGCTGACAGTCAATAAACAAGCATGTGCTCACTTTTGAGATTATTCGCAATAAGTGCTATTTGACGGGAAAGTATTAGTCCACCAGTGGCAAAAGTGCTTTCGTCTTTTCTTTTTACATAACGGAGGATACAGGGTATGTGTTTTGTTGCCCCGTGCAGAGTACAGGCTCATGACACATGCTGTATAAAATTCGACCTAATGGCAAGAGAATACATTACTGCAATCATTAGACAAAACCCCTCTAATTAATAATTCATGAGTTTTCTCTGAATTCTCTTATGGAGAATTTTTAGGAGTTCCTCTACAAAAGGAGTTTTCACAGGAAACACAGGGAAAAGTATACTCATTTTTTTGCTATCAAGTTATTGATCATAAATAATTTGTAAGACACAGATTAAAATAGATACATATATTCAACATACTTTTGAATAAATGTATATCTGTACTTATATATACTCAGCATATGGCTGCAAATATCATTGAACACACAGATAAACGTCAGAGATGCTTAACTGCTGGTGTGGGTATTTGCACACAAATTAGTTGTTACACTTTGATTTACATTTTTTTTTTTTTTGCCAGCAACCTTACCAGTAATTTGCATTGGTAATGAATAGTGTGTAGGAAAGATTGTTGCTATAGTTACAGCAGAAGAGCATCTCTTAAATCCAGATGAGGTGGTGTGATATTTGCACCCACACCCATGTGCCTACCATGTGCCATCCTTCCTATAGATGGCAGCATTCTCCAAAACACCCAATGATGACGTTACTCTTGATATTTTAATCCATTTCTAAATTTTCAATAATACTGAGGAAAGACAATATGCTGGTTCACATTAACAGTGTGCAGCAAGTTTCTGACTGTCTATATTTTCATTTTTCGACCAGTTGCTGAGGCTGATTGCCGCAGAAAAGCTTATATCTGTGGGCTTCTGAAAGCCCAAGTAAAATTTATCTGAATTATTTAGTCTAAACAACATCTGCCCTCAAGGAAAAGCGAAATGTGCAAATTGGTCCACAAGCAGAAAATTGATCACACAGACTCAATCGATTCTCCTCCATTGCCAGCCCAAGAGAAAAGATCAGACTAAATCAGCTATGACATCCTAGTCCAGAATTAAACAACAGATCATTGACATTGATTTATATTGCACAGAAAAAGTCTATCTTAATAAATGTAAGGTTTATTTCCCTCTCATCTATTGCCTTTCTGTTTTTGTTTAGAGGGTAGTTATCACTGTGCTTCTTTAGCCACCAAGGTGTAATTAACCGTTCCAGTAGCCACAATCTGCCACCCTCCACTAACATCAACAGAGTCATCAGCCTGCTCTATATTAGCACTTGACTTCACAATACTTCAAGACACTTCACGAAAGACGCCAGGGCTGGATTCTTCTAGTCTTACAAAAACATGTCCGAACTCTAGAGATGAACATGGAGAAACAACAAACCGTAAACAATGTTATCGACACAAATTATTACACGATACAAAGGACAAAACGCACACTTAAAAACATAAAACTGGGGTCACGTCACATTGCACAGAATATATTATAGCTGATAAATAAGGTGGGATGTTCAGTTCACACTGGGGTAGGGTTAAGGGTTCAAATTAGAGTTGGTAGTGGGATTTGGATTGGGGGTTTAATGTTTGGGTTTGGATAAGAGTTGAAGGGGTAGCGTAAGAGTTCTTTGGATTTGCGATGGCACGAGTTTTAGACTTGGGGTTCATATTAGTGATGGAGGTTTATGGTAAGGGTAGTGTTTATGGTTTAGAGCTATGGGTTTAGGTTAGTGGGATAGAGTTGTGGGTTAGGATAAGTTATGGAGGTTTAGGTTAGAGTACATTTCACAGACAAAGCCAGTATTAGCCCTAGTTCAATTATGGCAATTAAGTAGTTTATATGGTATAACGTTCATAAAAAAACTGGTGTGCATCCTGAGACAAAACAATGGCACTGACATTTTTTTTTAAGAAATATCAGTGTAAGTTGATTTCAGTTAAAACACCTCAAACATGCATTTTAGTCTGAGACTAGGCCTTGTCTGTGAAACCAGGGGCATGATGGAGGGTAATTGTAAGTGTTGGAGGTTTAGGGTTGGGGGTCAGATTAGAGTTAGAGTTGGTGGTTAGGTACAGGTATAGTGATGGATATTGAGGATTAGGGGTTCAGATTATTGATGGAGGTTTATGTTAAGGATAATGATTTGTGTTATGGGTTTAATTTTGGGAGTAGAGTCAGAAGTTTAAGATTACACCATGTCTACACTGATGCTGCAACGGCTTGAGGCTGCCTACACTGGAAACTTAAAAGTGAATTTTCCAAATCAAATTGTCCTTTTGCCAGAAGCAGAGCAAGCGCATGTAGTATCTCAGAAATCTAGGCATCCGATTATGGTCTGTGACTCGGTGCAATGCATTGGAATGTATCCACTGTAGACAGCATCGATTATAATGAGTGTTATTGGCATTTGGTGAACTTTACCACTTACGCGTACCTCCCGGTGTAGAACAAAGTGTTGGAGGTGATGGTTGGATTAGTGATGGACGTTTATGGTAAGGATTAGGATTGGTATTGAAGGGTAGGGTTAGGGTTTGTGAGGGTTAGGATTAGAGTTAAAGGTCTAGGATTGGGGTTGGGATTAGTGTTGAGGGTTATGATTGTAGGTTTGGATTGATAGCTCGGCTGCTACAGAGGCAAATGCTAATGAGAGCACGTTATCCTCTAGAAACATCAGGATTCAGGAACTGTGAACAGTTGCATCCACGCCTCCTCTGCTGAGATCCTCTCAACATTGGGAGGAGGGTGGGGGAGTTCTAAAGTGCTGAGTGGTCCCTCATTTCCTGGGGCAAATAGGTCATACAGTAGGCCAAAGTTTAGCGATTGAGTAAAGTGTAAGTCTGAGAGTCAGATAGAGTCTTAAGAAGGACAGAGAAACAGGAAACAGGGATTATAAATCCTCTACTGGGCACCAACCAACCAGTAAAGGATTCTTTATATTTGTGAATGACCTCTGAACTCTGAATCTCTCCCCCATTCCCCTATGCAACTGATGAGATCTGTTTATCCTCCGAGTCGCCTTCTGCCTCTGCGTCGCCCATCAATGGCTGCCTCTTCTTTAGCTCTCGCTGGTATTTTGCCATTAGAGAGGCATATATGCAGCCGTATGCTGCGGCAGCTACCATCATAATGCACACGATTCCACAGACCACACCAGCGATCACTACTGTGCCGATCGCCCTGCGAACACTGACCGGCCGATAACGCTGCTTCACACAGTCTGGTAGCTCTGCCTCCGTACGCACCACAGCACCTTCGGACGATGGAGTGGGTGTCCCACGAAAACATGGTGGAGATCCACCTTTGCTCCCAGCCCCGCCCCCATTCTCATCCTCCAATTGCAGACAGTAGTTGAACATCTCCACGGGAACACCCCTGATGTCACGGCCCCTTAAGTCCTTCGGAAGCGTACACTCAACGGCATCAACATAACCGCCTACGACAGAAAGCAATAGAGAAAGATAAATCAAAAATAATACTCTCTAAGCTAAACAATAGTAACCTCTAATGAATTTAAATGGTGGCTTCAAGCCCTCCAAAATAGCACCACAAAGCTAGGAGGGTCAGAAGCCCACTTCAATGTGCGTGTGTGTTTGTTTGAGAGAAAGAGTGGTAGCTGGCGTATAATTAAAAAGCCTGACATGCATACAGAAGCTCTGTTCCAAAACCTAGTGATTTGCCACACTGCCTACATAGGCAACATGCTAACTGTCATGGAGTGACTAATTTGAAGTGCATAGGCAGCAACTCCACATGCCATACAAATATAATTCTGTACAGGGTAGTTGATTTTAAAATAGCTTGTAATTGGCATCTCAAGAATAGTGCACTAATCCATTAACAAATCACACAGCTAATGGTGCAATGATCCAGTATGCATAAAACACACAGTACAAACAAATTTGGGGTACAATAATTTTTTTTTTCTGAATTATTTTCGAATATTTTGAATTACCGAATGATATATAATGTTAAAGTAATGCATTACAAAACTGTATTACTTCCTAAAAAATTGTGCTACTTTTTATGGAAAGTTACATTACTTTTTCTCATCTGGGCTGGGCTTGCTTGTTTGTTTTCCAAATGTTAAAGCCCTTTCACACCAAAAGTGAAATGAATAAGCCTCAGACTGAGGGAAATGCAAATTCACACCTGTACAGTAGAGGGCACAGCTCAAACAAACCTTTCCGCTGTGCTGCCATTCTGGATTGCAGAAGAATAGGACACAGGAGAAGAAATTTCACTCTTCAGCAATAAAAACAAAAAAAATCAAACACAAATGTGATGTTTATCTAAAGCCTTTTTTTCTTATTTGTATGGTTGAATTAAAGCATCGAAGGTCAGCATTAAAAACATTAGTTAAGAAAGTGAAATTAAAGAACGTTTGTTTAATTTAACATTGATTATTGCACGTTTGCGTATTCTGAGTTTGCATTTTAGTTTTTATTCATTGAGGAAAACTGAATCTGTTTTTTGTGCAAGTGACATGAGTAAATGCATTGCTCAAAATTAGTCTAGAACTACAATAACCATCATGTTTACATAGCACCTCTACACTTACTTGCTTTACTTATTTGAAAAATTACAGACGTTTGCTTCTGAATTTAAAAGTAATGTTACTTTACTAGTTACTTGCAAAAAACATGTAATGAGTTACCACCAACACTGTATATAATGTTATTTTTTATAATTTCCTTCAAAAGTTTGATGCATCGTGGGATCTCCATGAACATGCAATGCTGCCTGAAGTTGGTCAAAACAAAGTATTTTGGAAGGTAGTTTAAGTAAGGTCAAGAAAGTATTATGGTTGCCTTATATGCCACATCTGTAGGCAGCTCACTAGGTATTGGAACAAAGCAAGAAACTCAGAGCCCACCATGACTAGAGTCTCTTTCTCACACACTAAAAGCTTTGTGACTCAGCCTCTTATGTCTGTTTCAAATCCCCCTCCCTCTCAAAGCTGCTCTGAAACAGAATTAAATGAGTTTCTCTGACTCAGAGTAGAAGGATTGAGACAGACAGAGAAAAATAGAAAGTGAGAGGTATGGAGAATTTGAAGCTCTGCTTCACAATTATTGTTGGGGTTTTGCCACATTTCATTGCCAGTGGTAGACAAAAGATGGAAATTATTAAGGAGAGAGTGGGTACATTTCCTACAATAAGTCTGGAGTACATGCACTTACCATTAGGTTACAGCTCCATCTGTTAAGAGGCTTAATAAACCTCTTTTAAAACAGATAATTCTCAGTGGTTTATAGCCCTTGCAAAATGCCAATAAACATGCACTTTACATGATTGTACATTACATTTTAATGCAATACAGTAATTCGATAAAGTTGAAATATATTACTTGATGGAAGAATAATTTATTCAGATTTTAAATATTAAAAGGTTTAATTATTAATTGAACACTGATGTCTATTATCATACTGCTGTTGTCAAGGCAGTCCACTTTGGATTGTGCCAAAGAACACACCTTACTTATGGTAAAATCCTAGTAACCTACAGCCTCTTGTGGCTTATTGCTCAAATTACGTGTTTTTACACCTCCAGAGAATAAAAACACTACGCTCACCTCTGTATATTAGCCACTCCATCCAGTGTTTGAAGTCTCTCAGGTTGCAGTCACACTCCCAGGGGTTTATGCCCAGCTCCAGGTGCTGAAGGTTGACGAGAGGCTCAAATGTGGCTCTCTCCAGGGCGTGAAGTCTGTTCCCAGCCAAGGAGAGCCAGGTGAGCCCCTGCAGCTCATCCAGCAGGCCCAGCGGCACAGCGGCCAAGCCGTTCAGAGACAGATCCAGCCTCCGTAGCTGGGTCAGGCCACGAAATAACTCCCGATCCAAAACCGTTAGGCTGTTGTTACGCAAACTCAAATCGCTCAGGTTACTCAGCTCACGGAACAGTCTAGAAGGCAGGTTGTCCAGATAGTTGTTGGACAGGTCGAGGCTCTCAAAGGTGCTCAGATTGGCAAAGGCCGAGACGGGCAGGGAGGAGAGGCGGTTATTGGCCAGAAAGAGGGTATGTGTGCCCTCCGGGAGAGAAGTGAGAGCGGGCACAGATACTAGACTCCGCCCACTGCAGTTAGCCTCCAGTGAGTTACACACACACTCTGAAGGACAGCCAGAGCATAACTGCAGCAACGTAGCACACACACTCAGCACACCTAGCAGACCTGTGTGAATGAAGAAAAAAGAGAAGTATTTATCGATTAAAAGAGTTGACATAGATGTGAAAGGTGTTGATTTAATGCCAATGTGAAAAATATGTACAGTGTTTAATAAAGGAGACCAGTGCTCAACACAACTTAACCTGTGGCTTCCGCTCCAACCACACTGGTTTAAACTGGAGCTTATGTGAACCTACAAACAAACCTGTAGACATAGCAGTATTTTTGATGCACTCGCTGAAAGTAACTATCTGTGTCGCAGCACCTTCAGGATATTTTTGCGCAGGATGTGTTTTGATTATTGTATGATGTATTCACCTGCATGTCTTTTCAAAACTCAATGACTTTCTTTTTTCTTTAAAACACAAAATAAGTATACTGCATGACCAAACTGCTCCAAAAATTACAACAAACGCACCACCAAAAAAAAAGTTAATATCACTTGTTTGCTAATTCAGTCAAAAGGTCTTCTGAAACCATACAGTTGCTTTGTGTGAGGAAAACACCCAAATGTAACTACTAAAAGTCAATGAGACACACGACACACATTTGAAATCATGACATCAAACTTATATTAGTTTAATTGAATATGAGTGTGAATGTAGATTTGTATATCTCAACAAATGTTAACAAGGTTGTGCTGAATGGTTCACGTAAATACTGTAGCAACAAACGGTGATGGCAACGATATGCGGTTTATCACCTTTACACTGTGACCTGTACATTTTTGCCAGGAGATGAAGCTTTTCATCGACCTTCTCAACAATAAAATTATTAATATAACCCTCCAATGCATAGTTAAGGTCTTTTAGGTGACTTCGATATGGTATATTATCTTTCTGTCTCCAAAAATCACCATTTGCCTCCTGTGAAACGTCTCCTACTGTGACAGCTGCCATAGCGCCTGTCCCCGAATGTTGACTGTTTGTCCGAGTGAGTGAAGGGGGCGTGGCTTAGCCATAGATCAATTGGGTTACTGGACTCTTCAAACCCTGCAGGTCTATTCCAATAGGGTTAAAGTTAGCAGTTAAAAACAGTGCACATGATAGTAAAATAAATCTTAACAGGTATGAGAAAATGCTTCCCATATCTTTGTTGTTGGATAATTGCAACTGCAGTTCTACCTAAAGAACCTAAAAAGTTTATCTTACGGCATCAGGCTTTTCCGTTCTCTTTTTGTAAGAGTGTATGATGGGAATATAATGTGCCTCAGAGTTAAACAGAGAACGTCCTCTGCTCTGCCATAAAAGCAAACATTTGCCAACTGTTTGTCACCTCTCTCTTTTATGCAACAGTGAGGTGGGGTGCAATGTTTCTCTGTGTCTGAGACAATCAGACGCTATCAATGGATATGACAGTTTAAACATTGAGATCCCAGTTGTCTCGTTGAACGTGTGTGTGTGTGAGTGTTTGGCAATTTAAGTGCAGACAGATGCAGTTACAGCACTCGGATATCTGATCCTGACCAGCCTCAACACCCTGATCCCTTTGTAATGAGAGACACACACAATCATCACGAACACACGCTCTCTCTAATACTCACTCACACAATTCTGTGTAATCTCAATAATTAATCTGTCCTTCTAAACTATGTAGTTGTGAATTATTCTAGAATTGCTGTTTTGGCCTGTCAACCTTCAATTTCCAGTATATCCCTTTCTTCTCTCATCCCTTATTCTGTTTGGCTGAGAACAAAAATGTGTTAGGATAGGCATATGACTGGCTGCTGACATTGAAACACAATGTTCGTTCTCTGTTTTGTTCCCTATGTGTTCAGAACGCCGTTGAAAAGCACAGAGACTGACTTTATGTAAGTGGTGAGGACGGAAATCTCCTTGTGAGTGGACCTAGATTAAAAATAGGATGAATGTCTATTTTGTGCCTACATTCATATTTCATCTTGAATTTTATGATGGCTACCTCTTTTTTTTAACCCTACTGGATTTGCTCATTTAAAAAAAAAGCAGATCTCCGATTTTCAGAATAAATAATGGAGATTGCTGTAATACAAAAGAAAAATAAGTGTTGGTTGCTTCTTTCTATGCAATGACAATAAATGGGGACTTTAGCTTTACAGAAAAGACACAAAAGCCCCATAAAAGTAGTTACTTATATTCTCTTTGCTCTATATTCTCTATAGTAGTCTGTTTTTTATTAAAGCTTTATATTTTCCTCCAGTGAACAATTGATTTCAACAACCAGGTCTGTCCTTGTCTAGACAGGTTTTATGTAATGGATCATCATATTAATTGAAAGGATCCAATTCAAGAGAACAATTCATTACATAATCTCTTAATGAATGCGTCAAGTAGAGCTAGTGCGAATGTCAAAATAATCACTAAATAATTACATTTTTAGGCTTTTCCCAAATCCCCACACAAAGCAAGCTTTTGACTTCAGAAGACTTTGAATAGTGTCTTTGATGGTGTCTTTTTGGACCTTCACTTTCATTAAATTGAAAACAGTGTCTAGGATATTCTTTCAAAAAGCATTGTGTTCCCAAAGAAAGTAATACAGAATAAGTATTGGCTTAAAATATAAATAGCATAGAGATTTTAAGTTGGACTCTAAACCGATAGCAGGTCAATATTTTCCACTACACCATGACAATGACAATGCAGCAAAACTGTGTATGTGTGAGTTGCCACTACATTGCTTCATGCAGATCTTCAATCAGACACACACATTAACTAAAGCCATCCTAATCCATCTGTTGCAGGGGCAGCTGGTGATACGCCGCACTCTATACTACTATACACACCCACACAGGCACATACGTCAACACACACCACCTTTCTTTCCACAAACACATTAATAAAACAGAATGCAAACTGATGGATTTCGGAAAGTGATCAATGTAAATAATTTAGACAGATTGGTATTCACTATTTGGACAAAGCATTTAAAACTTTATGCATGGAATCAGTACTTAAATCCTCTTAAAGCCCAACACCTTCAGAAGAGTGAATGTGTGTGTGTGTATGTTAGTTGTGCTCACCTTGACTGTCCGGATTTCCTCTCCTCCTGCGACCCACTGTAGGTGCAGTGCTGAGCTGCATTTCTGCGCTTCTACGACTGCAGCTGCCCTTAGATTCGCTGTGGCATCAGCTGGCCCTGATGCCAGCCTCCACAGGCAGCGATACGGGGCCAGTGATGAGACTGCAGAGAGAGTTTGAAGGATAGTCAGTAACTTGACGCTTAGTTTTCTGTCCGTTTTAGCATAGATGAGTGTGTGAGCTGTGTGGTTTGTGTTTTTTTCCTCCAATAAGTATCTCGGGGGTTGAAACTCAAATAAACCTTGACATGTTGGCAACTGCATTATCACTGTCATGTCAAAGCTTATTTTTTGAATCAGCTCACTTCCCGTGAAAGTTGATTCCTTCTGTGTGCTCTCTACTTTAGGCTCAATGGAAAACATCTTAAATTAGTATATCTTTTAACACACAAACCTCGCAACATAATGCTTCTTGAATCTGTTCAATATTCTATTAGACTAGTTAACAGTGATGGACAATACAGTTACATTCTAACCTACGAGAAGAAAAATCACATATGAGAGCTCTTGAATGATGTTTTAATTCTATTTACATATTTTATTATTGAATACTTAGAATTATTTTCATCAGATGAGATTAAATGGAGATCATACGGAGACTTTTGCTTACATCTCCTGCTCCAAGTTTCCATGAAATCAAAATTCAGAATATTTCAGTGCTCATTATATATAATTTATCAGTACACATCTTTTTTCATCAAAAACATTAACCCCCTTGAAACAACATCTGTTCTTTTCATGTGTCTCGGTGGAGGGTGGAGCTTAATATTCTCCACAACAGACTGCGACTGCAAACTGGCATTCAGATCTGCCTTTATTTACTGTAGGTAGCAACGTTCAACTTCCTACGATCCAATCAAAAGTGCCTAAGTTATGACGTCACTTTGCAGGACAACTCGGAAGCCAGCGGCGCATGGGTTCCCTCAATCAAAAAGCTATGCATTTTCCCCAGACTTTTGGAAAATCGCAAAAAATAAGATCTGTGTTCAACAAAGAGTAGTGACTCTCACACGATTTGTCTATCAAGATAATATTTACAAGTTAATACAACATTTATACATTATGAAGCCAGTGGGTGCTGGGAGGAGAATTGATACGTGCGTCATAGTCAATAAGATACACCTGTGTATCCTCGCTCATGACTCCTCTGGAAGCCTCCTCACTCCTCGACTCCTCACGGTGCAATTAGAGAATCAAGATGGCTGAGCTCGATCGGTTACCGGGTCATAGGATGGAGGACGGAGGAGCGAGGAGACGAGGAGGGATATTGAGAAGCACCCTAATAAAGTTTTTAAAACCCACAAGCAGGTTATAACTGCTGTGTTTTATGCCATAGATCAAAACGTGAAAATATTTAGAGGCTTTGTTAACCACAGACCTTATTTCAGGCGATTTAGCAAAAACCCATTCAAAAAACCCATAGACTTTAAGGCGAGGGAACCAGAAGTGCTAAAATGCGAAATAACTTCCGCGTTTTGGCCTAACTTCGACATTCCCAAAGGACGAAATCAACATTTTTACATTTTACTCTTTCAAGAAGCCGTTTGACTCAGATATTCATCACAATAGGAAAGAAAAGTCTATTGCAACTTCCATTTTAAGTCGACTTCAACTATGAAAAACATGTCAGTGCGTTTCCTCTAGACTAGACTTTTAAAAGTGCTCCCAAACATGTCTCAAACTGTTCTTACTTTTTTTTTTTTTTTTTAACAAACCAAACTCTGGGTGTGTGTTGATGAAAAGTTAATAATTAATTCAATAAAAAAAAACTTTCCAGGTGCACACTCATCTGTAATACATACAGTAGGAGCTTACTGTAATACAGCTCTCCAGGGTACAAAACCGTAGTAGTAAAACCGGCGCTGCAGATGCGATTTGGTTAATTGAGGTACAGTAATATGACACGGAAACCCTTACAGCACATGACAGAGAGGGGAATATTATTATTATAACGGCATACCATTATGTAATACTAGTTGTGTAACGCAATGCTGTGAATGTGTGTGTCTCAGATCATTGAGCACAAGGTTACAAGTTGCTTCTGTTTATGCCAGGCCAGTTTGCTGTAAAATGGCCGCTGCTGTCTTAGACTGTGACACTTCGGCCTTGTCACCTGCCACATCCATCACAGCGTGCGTCTGTGTGTGTCTGTGTGTGCGTATTTGCGCAACGCAACACCAATTCACCAGCCTGTCATCTGAAACGGCACAGTGGAAAAATGTGCAGACATTTAGAGGTTATATTGCATGTGTGTGTGTGTGAGTGTGTGTGAGAGAGAGTGAGAGTTTCTGAAAACACCTTTTGGAGTTGCTCAACACGTGAATATTTTTCAGCGCTTTACAGATCCTAGAACATGCAAGTTTGAGGGTGTGATAATGTGAGTGTGTGTGTGAAGAGAGGATAATTAGTTTAGGGTTGTATCATTTGACTCCCGAGCATGCAGCACACACACACACTCACACGTGATGTAGCTTAACAGTCTCTCACTTTAGCAGCATCTCTCTCCACGTCCAGTTCAGCACATATTTCACACTTTCTCACCCCACGCCATTCCAACTTCCTGTGAATGCACAGGTCAACTATGCATGTGTGTTCATAAGTAAATAGAAACGCCCTTTAGATGTTCACCTCTGAACCAGTCCTGCTGATCCCTTTTCTTTCTTTCCAATGCACACACACAGAGAAGGCAGCAATCAAAGTCAACGGCGGCAAGAACAGAGCGAAGAAACGTTAGAAACAAAGACACGGAGGCCACGGGGATGAATTATTAAGAGCAGAATCACAAACAAAGACACGCTCGCATAAACACTCATTCAAGCAACACACACATTATGCGTAAAAACATACGAACCACTTACACAAATGCTTCTGTTTATACAATAAATATGCAAGAGTTAATAGGATTGCATATTGTAGAGACTCAAATGCATGCTCAAATACACTCAAAAGCAGCATTCCAGAACATCACCTGTGGTCACACAGACATATATTTCCTTTGCGTCCAAATAAAAAACTGGACATCATGCTCTGTAACCCAAAACAACAGGCGAATGTGTCGGTCTAAAAAAATAATAAAAAATCCCTCGGCAGACATCATGCACAGACAACGTAATCATAACTAAGGCAAATTGTAATGTGTGCTTGTATATGTGTGTTATAGGTTAACAGTGTTTCACTCACCGTCTTTAGATGCTGTCCTTCTCGGCGTCCCCCCCAAGCTCACACAGTCTCTCTCTCACACACACACGCGCACACACAGGGTTGTGGGAGAAATGAGCGAATAGCAGCTCTCGTAACGCTCCAATGTGGAATTGAAAATATCCTTCCGCTGCCAAGAGCAACGGCTTCCACAGAAGGAGAGGTGGATTGGAGGAAGGAAAAAAAACGATTAAAATAAAGAAGAAGGAGATGAAGGAGGGGAGTTAAATCCTGCGCAATGCCTTGCTGTAATGCTCAGAGAGAGAGGATGACAGAGAGAGAGAGAGTGTGTGAGTGAGTGAGCGAGCGAGTAAGAGATAGAGGGGAGGAGGAGGCGTGCTCCAGTCTTTCAATTATCTGTGGTTTCCAGCAGATCGACTCGCCTCTGTGTTTGTATATTGAGTCCACAGAATGCACTTGAGTGTGTGTGTGTGTGTGTCAGGAGGTTGTCTCTTAAGCGCATACTGTCCTCAGGCTAGCCTTTGGTGCGCATGTCTGTGTGAGTAAGTGTGTGTGTTTGTGTGTTGCTTTCTCCATATGTGCATGTGGTGAGGCGTGCAGTGTAAGCGTGTGCCAGCCTTGTCAAAGATAGTAACATTAGTGAGGGATGAGGGGATTGAGGAGGGGTAGAGAAAACAGCTGATTTTTTCTCTCTCATAGATAGATAGATAGATAGATAGATGATAGATAGATAGATAGATAGATAGATAGATAGATAGATAGATAGATAGATAGATAGATAGATAGATAGATAGATAGATCGATCTATAAGGGGAAAAAAAACCCTTATTATTGTTCTCTTGTTATGGATGGATCCAATCACATGTTGCCATCACCATCAGTGATGTCATCAGAGTGCTGACATCATGCAACAGCTCAAGAATATAATCATACATGTACTCAGCATTGTTCAAGTAGACAAACTGGACCAAATGTCACCCATGTATACAAACATTTCTGCAATTGCCTGGTGTGCTGAATAATGCATAAAGGCACACAGGCCACGCTGCAGCAACAGCACCTCAAAAAAAAAAAAAAAAAGAAATTCAGCCATTGCAGCTATTTATAAGAGGAAAAGCATTCTGCGACACCAGAAGCGTTTACCTCCAGTATGTTGTGGGCTGTTGCAACGCACCGTGTACTTCAGAAGGACCTCAGTGCCGCCCACATGCTTTCACATGCCAGACATTGACAAGAAAAAGCACTACAGCTCCATTAAATCCTTACCATGCCATTTCTCTCCTTATCAGAAGCCCTCTATGTTATGAAGAGTGTTTTGTGGGGGTGTGTACATACTGTGTGCTGCGCACGTTGAGGACAGTGTCATATTTGGGTGGTGAGTCTTCAAGGTGTCGATAGGGGCTGCGCTGACATCATGTTACCTAAGCAACAGAGAGAGAGAGAGAGGTGGGGGAATTGAGAGGGTGTTTTTTTTTGACTCACTGTTAGCGTATGCTCCTTGAGCTCTTCGTGATAATCTGCAATGTAAAGACCCCGCTGCTCTGTTTGCCATCACACACACACACTGCAGTTTAGTTCTGTCATATTCAAATAGATATGAACCACATTTACATAATTTTGAATCTAATTTATAATTTGAAAATGCATATTAAGCTAAGCATAAAAGCGTACTGTTAAGTCCCCGGCACTCGCCGGACTATTATGACCAGAAGAATCTCATTTTTAATTAACGAGGTATTGTTTTACATACTTTAAATAGCAACATGTGATCCATCCATCCCTCTCTCTCTCTCTCTCTCCATCCATCCATCCATCCATCCATCCATAACAAGGGAGCAAGAATAAGGGGTTTTCCCCCAGAAATATTCACATGCATCCATTAAAAGTTGTTAAATAAAGTCTATCATCTATCTACAGTAATTCTGGAGAATTTCAAGCTCTGATGGTGTATAGCTTATTCTTTTTCTCTGTTTTTACTCATAAAGTTGTAAAATCTGTGTATTTTAAGTAGGGCTGATTGCTTGCCATGTTGTCGTCCTGAGCGTTTGGTTGAGGTTTCATGCTGTTCACATCATTGTGTTTGTTTTTGTGTGTGGGATGTTTGTGTGGAAAAGAGAATGACAGAAGCTCAGAAAACTGGCTATTTACTGAATTATCTGCTCTGCTGGAGTCACATGTCTTCCGTCATTCACACTTCTAACTGTGCTTGGATCCGTCTGCGAGCTCGCTCGTCACTATTTCGGGTAATCTTCATTGCAGGGTTGTCCAAATCTTTAGGATGCTGGATGAGACATGGTGACTGTAATCTTCCAGTATTATTATGTCTGCTAGGTCTAGAGCTTTATAATACACGTCTACCCATTTTAGAGATTGTCTGCCCTTTTACCTATCTTCCCTGCCCCGAGCAGCTATTACCAACACTGCCTTCCACTCTCTGACTCTTTATTATCCACATCTATTAATTAGCTTCTGTATGATAGATGCTTCTACTCTGGCCATCTCTCTCTCTCTCTCTCTCTCTCTCTCTCTGTCTCTCTCTCTCTCTCTCTCTCTCTGAATTATTGAAGTTAAAAAAGATTTTTACTCAAACTAACAATTTACTGCAGTTTAATCAGATCCGTCAATTTTACTGTCCTACTAATTACTCAGGGTCATTAAACAACAAAACCTGGTTCTGTAAAATGCAGCAATTAATGGGGGACGTGGATGTACAGATTGAGGTTATATATAAAGTACCGGGACTTACGCATGGGATATCATATCAGCACAATTTGCATTTTTAAGCTTGTGAGAGTACATGGACACCCACTGATGCATGCTGGGATTATATATTTGCAAGTCGAACGGAATAGGGTCGGAGAAAAAACGAAAAAAATCTTCAGGGGCAAAAAACTCAGTCTAAGTCGTATTTACATATGCATTTATACTAACATATTTCTTAATTTTTGCATTTCAGTTGAGATATTATAATAATATTAGAATACGAAAAAATTTTCTTATCTTTTTGTGTTTCTTTCCTGCATAGCCATAGGTGTACAGGTGTCTCTTGAGATGTTGGAAAAAAGGCTTTGGTCCATAGCCACTCAGGTACTAAAGCTAATATATCATATATCACACACACACACACACAACACACACACACACACACACACATATATATATATATATATATATTAGGGCTTTCAAACGATTAATCGCGATTAATCGCATCCAAAATAAAAGTTTGTGTTTACATAATATATGTGGGTGCACTGTGTATAATTATTTTGTATATATACATGTATATATATATATATATATATATATATATATACTCACATATGCTTGTATATATTTAAGAAATATTTTTATGTACATACTGTATATATATATTTATAAATAATTTATATTATATATAAATATTTTATATATAAATAATATTTTTTTCTTAATATACATGCATGTGTGTATATTTATATATATATATTCAAAGTATATATATATATATATATATATATATATATACTTTAATTTTGGATGCGATTAATCGCGATTAATCAGTTGAAAGCCCTAATATATTATATTATATTATATTATATTATATTATATTATATTATATTATATTATATTATATTATATTATATTATATTATATTATATTATATTATATTATGTATATATTATATTAACAGATGTCAACAGGATGTCTCTCTCCACAAGGATATACACCAGCATGTGTGCGATACTGGCCGGATGGGTCTTATCTGTTTAAACATTGTGCATTTGATGGAAAGTGAAAACAAACACAATACTGTTAGCGGTGACACTCCTAGCACAGGCTTTTGTTTGATATTTCTAATGCAAACAGGAGATGTTAAGTGTTGAGAGGAGTGGAAGAGTCCAGAAGGCATTCGAAAAGAATAAGGAGAGGAGGTGATATCACTCTCTACATCCTCCTCAGGGAGAACATTCTCCCTTTTTTCTAGTACCCCTGGGATTTTCCATGCCTGAACGCTCTTCCACCTCAGCTGGCACATTACCACTCTTTGTGCACTCCTGACAGCAATAACTACTGCCACCACATCGATTATTCTAACTGTTAAATGTTTGAAATGTTAAAATACAAATCCATTAAGTAAATCTTAAAGGATCAATAACAGCGCAGAATCCATAATGATTAACAACAGTGCAGAACATGACACACTGTAAGATGAAACATGCATGCTGTTAGAAAGAGACCAGCCTCTCTGTGTAAATTGTGCAAGGTTATTTTCAGCCATAGTTTTACATGAGACACACACGCAAGCTTAGTTTGTGCAAGAACACACGTGCATCATCCTTAAAGCCAGATAAATTCACTTTTGATTTTAAAAAACAAGTTTAATTTTAAAGATAAAATATTATGAGAAAATACAACTGTTCAAAAGTTTGGAGTCAGTTAGACTTTTTTTTTTTTTTTTTTTATATTTTTTTTTGAAAAAAGTCTCTTATGCTTACCAGGTCTGCATATTTGATCAAAAATGGAATATCATTACAATTTTTTTTCTTCATTTTTTCTAATATGTTGATTTGCTGCTCAAGAAACATTTCTTAATTTATTATCAATGATAAATACAATGTGCTGCTAAGTATTTTTGTTGAAATCATGATACATTATCCTTGTTTAAAAAAGTATACATTTCTATCAACACTAGTATATATTAAACATATTGATCCGAAAACTATTAATGACATTATTAAGTAAATTTATGTTTTACAGGAAAACAACAATAATCTCTCAGTTGGCCACTCAAATGCTTCAATTAGGTACAGATTAATCCAAATTAAATTGAGATATGATCTATGGATCTTTAACAGTAGCTGCTGTAAATATTCACAGGTCCTTATGAGAGGATTGTTTTCCTGTCCCTATTTTCATCTGATATATGAGTTGAGTTTGAAGCTATCAGTCCTGAGCCAGTGATATGATATCAATAAATGTTTTTCTTTCCTTTTTTTTACTACTGCTGCATATTATCTGGATGGACATCAGGCGAATGACACAGATGTATGTACTTAATATAAACAAGAGAATTTACACAATATACAAAACTTAATGCTCAGTTTCTCTGTCTTTGTCAATGTCTGTCTATCACAGTGTTCTGGTGTAGAGGGGCTTTGTCCTCTAAGCTGTACTGATAATCCGGTGAGTATTATACAATATAGTATTAATAATGCATAAGTGCTCGGTCTCTAAAGCATTTGTGGATATATCGGTGAAAATATGTATCACCATTCCTCCATCAAACTAATCCAATGTGACAAAATGCTTTTTCTTTTTTTGTGTTTACAGGACATTAACTGCTACGTCATTGACAGTAATGGCTTCATCATCATCTCGAAGGACAAGACTGATGTAAGAGCACTTAAAGTGACAGGATAAGGTCAACACAAAATGCCATTTGCAACCCACTAAACATCTGTAATGATGCAAAAATAGGCATTTCCGAGTTAAACGGTATACTAACATGTAGGGAAAGAAGTCGTTTTATCCACTGTTAAGAGATTGGACTGTGAAAAGTGTCCAGTACACACCAGAATTAAGTATATATTTATTAAGTATATATATATATATATATATATGTTTTATATAGAAGATATTAAAGGCATATTTACTGTGTGCACACACACACACATTCTGTCCCTTTACACTATCCCTACCCCTAAAATTACCCCATTTTTACATTAAACCCCTACCCCATTTTACATTAAAAAAAATAAATAAATAAATAAACTCATTCTGTATGATTTATAAGCTTGTTTCCTTATGGGGACCTCAATTTAGGTCCCCACCTTGACAAGAGTCCCCATGGGTCTGTGTGCATTTAGTTTGAAATCCCCACCGGGATAGAAAACCAAGCAAGGATGTGTGTGTGTGTGTGTGTGTGTGTGTGTTGTAGTGTAAATCACTGGAAAATTAGGTTAAGATTGTCACGTTCTGGTTCAATGACGATAAAGATATGCACAAATATCTGAGCACAAGAACAGAAGACAGTGACAACAAAACCAAACTGTTAAAAAGATGGGGAAATGACACGCAATAAAAATATATTTTGCCGTTTAAATGGTTCCATTGAGAAAGCAGGACACAGTAAAAAAAAGTCATGAAATAAAACGGTTCCTAAATAAACACATTGTGCTGTGAATAACACAGTTTAAAAAAAGCTCTGTTTACCACTGACTCAGCATAGGAAAGTGACTGTGGAAATGAATAAATAAATAAATAAATGCATGAGGTGTTTTCCATCATTAGCAGTGGTCCTATGAGAGAGAGAGAGAGAGAGAGAGAGAGAGAGAGAGAGAGAGAGAGAGAGAGAGAGAGAGAGAGAGAGAGAGAGAAGGAGAACAGTGCATCATCAGGGTAAATTTAGAGAAGGGGAGGGATAACACAGGTTATCTGAATAATTCAGCGTGCTGATGCGGTAAACGCTGACTCTGATGTTGGGCTGCAGCCATACAGGGCCCAAATGACGTTTAAAATTTGATTTCAGTGCTTTATCAAACAGTTAAGTCAAGATGTGGCGTTAAAGCTAATACAGACGCATTCATTCTGAGCTGTCATTGTTCCTATCCTGAACGAGAAAGAGATCCTGGTGGAATAAATAATAAATAACAATGTCTTGAAGTCTCTCTATTCTCTGTATCTGTAGGTTGGCAGGTTTCTGGGGGAAATCGATGGGTCGGTAATGTCACAGCTCTTGAGAATGGGCATGTTTAAAAGGTTAGAGAACTTTTATTTTGTTACGAACGAAACGCTTAGCCGCTTTTTCACCGTCGGGCAAAACAGTTCTAAACACAGTAAGGATTGGTTCCAGGTATATTTCCACTTGAGATTGGTTCAGCACGACATGATTACAAATTGGAATTTTAAGAATGAATTCTTAATTTACTATCAATGTTGAAAACAGTTCTGCTTGATATTTTTTGTGGAAACCATGATACTGGTAGAACTGTGCGTGTAGTGACGTCGCCACTCACTTTCCTGTTGCCTGGCTGCCAGTTTCCTATAGCTGGACAAGTACAATATTAGTTAATAATAAAAATTAAAAGAAATATCTGATCATCCTCTCTAACACGGTCACTATTTACATGTTATATCATGCAAATTCTTGCGCTACCAAGGCAGCGATGGAAAAGTGGCTAATGATTCCATGAAGAACTTTTAACATTCATCTATGATCTTCACACTAGGAAAAATGGAAAGAACCTTTCAGTGAACCATTTTCCTAGTGTGAAGATCAAAACCTTCGGAAGATTTATTTTTAAAATGTGAATTTAATGTAAATGTGATGTAATGTATTAATGTGTGTGTGTTTTCCACAGAGTGTTACTGTATGACTATCAGGGCATGTGTAAGGCGAATACTCACTCTGCTAGCGGCGCTCGACCCCTGCTAAGTGTAAGCGTTCTGTTGTCTGTTTTAATAACGTCTACCAGATCACAACAGTCAGATGCTATCAGTGTTATGTAATATTAAATTGCTGCTCTTGCAATCCATTGTGGTATATGACGATATGAGTGAAGGTCACAGGTCAGGGCTGATCTAGAAAAAAAGACTTGGCCTTCACACCAAAAGAGAGAGATGTGTCATGAGCTCTTGCACAGAAATTGTCAGTGTAACTGAAATGAAAGGATGCCATCGTGATTCTTTTATTCTTTTTTCCCCTTCCCTCAGCCCTTTCATAATCTCATGGCAGCCCTGAAATGGTTCCTATCGAACTTCTTGCTGTAAGTGTGGCTGTTTTTCTGCTCTTTACAACATCAGCGACTTGTAAAATCCCTTGTAAAATCAGACGTTTTTTTCTCCGCCAGGTTTTTACTGGACTTCAACATCTACGGTCTATGGCATTCCGATCACTTTGTGGAGGGTATGTGTAAAGTAAATATAAATACTCCAAAGATTCATTTGTGTTACTCACCTGTTTGTATGGCCGTTCCTGTGTCTTCCTTCATCTTCACTTTCATCGTTTCCCCTTTTATTTCTTTAATTCTGTAACCTTCCTTCATCTTGATGTGTCACAGCCAAGACCTTATTCCATTCATGTAAGTGCCGTTTCCATCACTGAGTGTGATATTGCTTGTGCTGTGTGTGATAAAGAGAAAGCAGTGAAAAATGTGGCTTTCATGTTGTTATTCATGATCAAAAGTGATTTTATAATGAAAGTATCCTGTAGCTGATGTTATTTGAGGATAAAAAGACATTCTATTCTTTAATCCGTACTGTAGATAACTGTGGGTTTGCTTTGTAGCTGGTAAGAAGTCAAAGGGGGGCCTTCTGCAGCCATGTGACACTGAGTATCCCAGCTTCGTCTACGAGCCGTCAATCAAAGAAACCAACAGCCTGATCAAGTGTGGGAGATGTCAAAAGTAAGAACTCGCATAGATCATTTGGTCATGGATGGATTTCCAATGCAATTTCTTGTTATTTATACATCAAAATATATATTTTGTATGTATGATTCAAGTCGCATTTGCCAAATGTAAATTTGTAATTACAAAAGCCTTAAATTGTTCTTAGATTTATAAAAACATACTGTAGTTTTCAACCACACTTTTGAAATACAGTATATTCTTAAAAAATAAGTTGCAAGTGTGGAACTATAAAGTCATAATTACAAGACACAAGAGACTGTGGGGGGTCTTTCACACATTTAATGTACCAGTTTGTAAAGCAAATGAAGTCATATGCTCTTAGACAGCTCTATTTGACGCCCTCTAGTGGTGATGACAAATTATACAATGGAAAATAAGGTTACAGTATAACTAAAAAGTAATGGTTTAATATAGGCCAGATTGAGCATATTGCTAACCTAGACAATTACAGTAATATACGGTTTGTCTATATTCTTCATGAATATTAATTAATATTAGCTGGTTAGTTAAAATGTTTTGAAATTAAATCAATATTCAGGGTAAACTTAATAGTTGGTGTAGAAACAACTGTATGATCATTCCCTTACTGGGTGGTGAGTCCAGGTTTTTTATTTTATTTTATTTTTTACTTCAAATCTTAGAATCACCCTGGGATTTGCCAAAAATGTGAAAGAAATTAACCGTTTTAAAGCATATAACTTTATTTCCAGAATATTTTTCTTAGTAACTAATAATAGCTAGGAGTATTATAATCAATAATGCTTTAAAAAGTAATATGGTACATGCATATATTTATCAAACTTCTGTACAAGTTCTCAGTTTACTTGTGTGCTAATTATACAACTATGTTAAGGTTTCGTGCGTAGCGTGTTTTTCATTTGGCACTGTTAGCACAACTAGCAATATCGAATATTTTAGAAAGAATATAATGAAGTAATACAAATAACCTTATGTTTGGTAAATGTAGAATGCGATACTGATTCTAGCGGAAAGTTGCTATGGTTACATTCTGTCTCGTACTGGCTTGATTTGATAATCCAGATTCAAGACGCTTGATGCGGATGAACCATGAAATTACATTTAGAGTACGTTAACATGACAAGGATGTTTTAAAAACTGAAACGTTTTTCCTGTGCATTTTTCACATACAGATGACACATTTTCAAAACGATCCCGTTCACACAGATGCACGAAAATTACTTATGTATGCGCATGACATCACCGTTTTCACAGATTCGCGTTTTTGTAGTTTAAACTTAGGCCATTAGACAACACCGTCTTTAAACTAAAAAGTAACACTTTTTATAAAGTTTTGGCCATTTGTTTACATGACAATGGCGTTTTGGGTGCCTGAAAACGCAAAGTTTTGAAAATGGGTTTCAAAATGCAAAGTTCGGTCTGCTTGTAAACAACAAAAACGAAATCTCTGAAGACGATGACGATCGCCATCTAATGACCAGCAGAATACAGCGTTTTTAGTCACTTCACTGTTTTAAGCATATTGTTGCCCTTAGATAATAATAATAATAATAATAATAATTAATAATTATATGAATGGCCAAAATGCATAAAAAGTTTTTACAGTTTTAACTGAAAATGGTGTCCTGTTGTTGGCCCCTTAATGACAAAGCAGTAATAATAGACTGGTGCAGGTGATTAATTGACATTGTAACAAACAAACAAGGGCAACTATGGAAACTAACAAGATAACGATGGAGACAAGGGAAACGGGAACTAAATATACAGGACCTGAACCTTATGTTAAACAAGACAAACAAAATACAAAGTCAAATCAAATACAAGACACAGGGAAATCGTGACACCTCCCTAGGTTGATAGCGGCTCATGTAACCTATATCTGCATTTTGTGGTTATTGAAAACAGTCCGTTTGCTCTGGATTAACTGTTAAGAATGCCATTGACTAGACTTGATCTCTCTGTTTCTTTTATTGCACGCAGGGTGTTTGTAATTAATCAGATTCCAGACAGTAACTTGCTGTTGGTGGTGATTCAGGCTGATTGTGACTGTTCTCGGCAGTACGCACCCATCACCATGGAGCCCAAAGAGGTCAAATATATCCTTAAAACCCCAGCAAAATCAGGCTACCCAGACCACACACTGAGGAGATGAATCACAGTTTTGAATGAGATCAGTTTAGTCACTTAAAGGTGCAACCAGTAAATTTGCTTCATGAGAAAGAACAAATTTCACTCAAATTTCTGGGTGCACTTTTAGGAAATCAGATCAAATTTATGTTCAAACATATTTTTATATTTTATAAACAAGCAACCAACTGTATAACAAAGTATATTCTATTTTAAATGAAATGAATTTGGATCTGCTATAATGATGCTTTGTTTTTATTCTTGCTTTTTCTTCATTTTCTCTTAACCGCTGAGCACACAATGCCTCAGTCAAATGTGACCGCATGAGATCTCAGAAGATACGAAGAAGGCCTGAGTCTTGTCATGCTTACCACCCTCAAGTAAAACACACACACACACACACACACACACTACTGCTCTCAGACATGCATTGCAAGGCTGCGTTCTGATTGCAATCTGTCTACCTACAAAATAGGATTTTCAGATATTAAGAAATCTCTGATAGGCCAACATATTCTGTGTATCTTGTCTGTTTTAGGAAAATGCCAAGGACTGCGGAGGGGCTGTGGCAATCAGCCTATCCGTCATGCTGTTTCTAGCCTGTTTATCAGTGTCTGCACTCATCCGTCGATGACAGAGGGTCTGTTAAATGCTCAAGAGAGTCACCGACACTCAACACAGCATGTTTTAATTAGCAATAATATGAGTTTAAACTAGAACACAGTGAAAAGTCTTTAATATCAAGTGTACTGTCTGTAGCTTTACTCAAGTTTGTGGATTTTTATGTCTTTGTCTTGACACCGAAACATCTGCTAAAACTTCTTTGAAAAATCAGAGGATGGACCAAAGAGACCCACACAAGCTAAGCTTCATTGAACTATGACATTAAAGAAGGGAATTTATGGCCAGTAGCTGACTGTAAGTGACAGGGGAAAGCAGGGGAAAGCGCACATATGTGTATGTGTGTGTCTGTGTTTGGGGGAGAGAAACAGGAATATTTAACATTGCTTTTCACAGCTGTCTTTGTCACCAGAGGACTTATAAGATATATGAAAATGTCTCTCAGAGGATGTTTCAGGAATATGTGTTGTGTTTAAACCTTTGTTTTTTGGTTGTCTGCAACTTGCACAATGTGTCAATTATAATAACTATGCATTATTGAAGGTACAATATGTAACTTTTTTTTAAATCAAAATATCCAAAACCACTTGCAAAGTGTTATGTATTTCTCTCAATTATGTACTTACATTATCCTAAATTTTTTCAACAATTTGTAAATTCAGAGATATTAAAAATTGTAAATAGTGCCTGTCCCTTGCCTGTCCTTATCCCTGGTTTTTACTTGTACTGCCATAGTAACCATGGTGACAGATGTGGACAACTGTAACATTTTCAATAATATTTTGCAATAATACTGTTTGTTCTGTATTTTTCACCAAATAAATGCAGCCTTGGTAAGCATAAAAGATTTCTTTGCTATTTACAATATTTACTTTTTATCTTAATATACTTTAAAAATATAATTTGTTCCTGTGATGAAAAACTGAATTTTCAGCATCAATCCTGAAAAAAATAACAGAGGTTATAAAAATATAATAAAAATGTATGTATAATAAAAATGTATTATTATAAAATAGCAGCACAACAATTTCCAACATTGATAATAAATCAGCATATTGGGATGGTTTCTGAAGGATCATGTGACAGTGAACACTGGAGTAATGATGCTGACAATTCTGCTTTGTATCACAGAAATAAATTATATTTTAAAATATAAAACCATTATTTTAAATTGTAATAATATTGTGAAATATTACTATTTTTGCTGTATTTTTTTAATCAAATTAATGCAGCCTTGATGAGCAGAAGAGACTTCTAAAACATATTATATTCAAAAACATAGTAATTTTCCAAACTTTTGACCAGTAGCCCTACCTATATACATTTATAAATATAATATAATGTAGAATAATAATGTAGAATAATAGAAATTGGTAAAAAAAAAATAGCCCATATAGTAACCCATTTAGACAAAGCAAAACACTTACTATCTGGTAAATTCTATAATTTACCAGATAGTAAGAATGGTAAATTGGTAAAAATGGTAAATTCTATAATTTTCCATTATCCTATTTTATTATCGTCTTTCTTGTCAACTTTTATTTTGTAAAATGGTCATGGTCCGTCGGGGACTCTTGATTTGTCAGCGTGAGCGCGTGCGGGGAGGAGGATCATCAGAGTCAGCGCAGCTCAGCCGCAGCAGCAGCTCAACAAACATCAGCCTGAATAATAGAGAACAAACATGAGCGATCACTGAGCGACTCTGCTTTGCCTTGTCAACGTACGGCCATTCAGTTGGCTTTATTTTATCCTTATTTTGATCTCCGGGTGTCCGGCAAACTGTCTAATCTGGAGGAGGACGGGGAGGTGAGAATTTACAAATATGATGATGGTGGAAATAAATCACAGTGGTGGTACTGTTGTAAATCATTGGCTTTATGCGGACTAAATGAACATAATACTTTATACAAAAGCGATGTGAGATGTGTGATAATCGCAATTCTTTTGTTGTCATGTATCACCTGCTGTCCATTGCGATGTTGTGTGTTTTTGATAGACAAGGTATCTTGATAAATGCAGTCTTTATTGAATACGGGATTCTATGTGGTGTATCAGCGTCAATGTGTCTGTTTTGATCAACCTGTCAAACGGCATGTCACGTTCGCAAGGTCACGCACGCAGACGCGAGGCCGCGCGCGCTCAAATTTAGTTTTCGTTAACGGTTACCCCACAATGGCCCATATTCATAATCATTCAAACACGAGTGACCGCAACATGAGCAGGTGCAGTAACGTCCTCCAAAGTCCCGAACGGGCAAATGTAACAAACAAGAAAATGCAAAGACATCAATAAACAAAAATCACAACAACAACACTTTTTTCGTGATATTGCTTAAAATACAGTTTCATAAACAAGCAATTAATATCGAATAACTCACGTCTCAAGCAAAAACTGGCCAGTTAGTTGCTATAATTCTTCTGTCGACGAAAATATTTCAAAAGAAGCCAAACCATCAAGTTGTCGCGCGTGTATTCCACACAGCAACGCAGATTTCCTCACATGCGATCTGAGTTCACTCGTTGCAAACTCCACTCCGGGTTTTTCCATTGAAAAAAAAAAAAAAAAACACTCGTAGCGATGACGAACGAGCCTCTATTTTGATTAACTGCGGTGTTATTTTGTAATTCCGATACAAATCAGCGATATAAAAACTTATTCCGATTAAGTAACCCTTATTTACGAAATTAAAAATAAAAAAAAATTAAATTAATATTTTGGCTTTATTTGTTTATTTTTTGATTGTTGGTCATAGTGGTGGTGCTGTGACTATGATGAAGATTATAATTATAATTATTTATATTATTAATAATTACATTATGATCAACAAAATAATATAATTTACAATGAGTCCATTTACATTTGCTGTAATTATTAAAATATTGCATAGTCAAACACGTGTTTTGTTCATATGTAGGGCTCTTTGGGGGAGGTTGCTTTCATTTGTATTCTGCTTTGCAAATGATTTTCCTGTTACAGACCAGCGTGGCCATGACGGGAGGCATGGCAGCGCCCCTCCCCATGAGCAACCATACACGTGAGAGAGTCACGGTGGCCAAACTCACGTTGGAGCACTTCTACAGCACCCTGCTCACCCAGCACGAGGAGCGGGAGATGAGGTAACCATGGCAACAACGACCCATTACACCTGCTTCCTCCAGCCATATCACTCAACGTATCAATTCGATCAAGTGTTATTGGATTAGAATAAATCTAGTTTGTTGTGACTGGTCATAATGCAGCTGTTCTCCCCCGTTTCAGGCAGAAGAAGCTGGAGAATTTGATGGATGAGGAGGGTTTACCTGACGAAGAGGTGAAACGCCCTCAGAGAATTTATATTGACCGTATATACACAGAAGTGTCAACAAAGAAAAAACTAGTTTTGCTTATCTGCGAAGTGGTTTGAATAGGACTCCGACTGTTTGCTTAGTTACCCTGCTTTGAGTACGCCAGAGAGATTTAATGTATGACTGACCAAAATAGTATTCAAGATATTTGGCTGAGTAGTGTCTGTGTTTTTTGTTTTTTTGTCGTAGAAGAGCATGAGGCGCTCTCTGCACGCTCGTAAGGAGACAGAGTTTCTGCGTCTCAAAAGGACCCGCCTTGGTCTTGATGACTTTGAGTCCCTCAAAGTGATTGGGAGAGGAGCATTTGGAGAGGTGTGTCTATTGCTGTGTTCAAACTTTGAAGTGTACCGTCTTCTCAGGCAACATCCTAGCCGAAATGGAAGTGACTGAAATGAAACGCTCTTCATAAGCATGCCACATTCTGTAAATAGCTCTCTTTATGTGAAGTGGAGACTCTACTCACAATTGAGCCAATAGTTTGGTGTTAAACCTAGGCCTGTTTTATATGGATTTTTCAGTATTCAATGAAATACAAGTATGCTTATGATCTTTCTCTCAACTTGTCTGCCATATTGGATGAATCTAAGCTTGTGCAATGTATTCTGGGATTTACTTTTCCTAGAAGTACAATGATAAACTGCCTTAGAAAATGAGGCATCATAATGATGATCCCTACTTTTAGGAACACACCTATAATGCCTTAATGTTGTCTAGTTATAACTAGGCAGCTCTTTTTGAAACTGAGCCATTGTGTGTTTGTACCAGTTTATTTAAATACTATTTATATACTATTTTAGTTTTTATTAATAGTTTGAATTAGCCTATATTTTATTTTTTCATTTCATTTTAATTTGTTACTTTTTTAAAATAATTTAGTTATTTTTGTTTAATATTTCTACATTCATTTATTTTTATTTATGTAATTTTAGTATTTTAACTTATTTCAGTTAATTGCCAGGGCAAAATTTCTAAATGTTTGTTTAATGTAAGTTTTTCATTTAATATTTCTATTTTATGTCTTTATATTGTATTTCAGCTGTATTTAAATTAGCAAAACTGTTTTTAATAGTTTCAGTTAACAAAATACTGGTTTTCAGTACTCATCCTCATCGACTTCTTTGTTTTTCCAGATTTTTTTTTTTCAGAAAGGATTTTAATCTCTATGAAGTAAAGTTAAACTTACATTTCATTGAAAATCCCAATGTTCTCTAAAAATGTTGTGCTGTATTCAGGTGCGCCTGGTTCAGAAAAAGGACACAGGTCACATTTATGCCATGAAGATCCTCAGGAAAGCAGACATGCTAGAGAAAGAGCAGGTATGGACAATCAATTCCATTTAAAGTTGCAGTAAGCGATTTCTGCTAAACCAAAACAAACATGCACCTGCCCAAAAGGATCACACCCCTATCCTGACAGCTCCATCCCCAAATTCACAAACACGCTTACACAGGCACTTTCCCCTAATGAGTGTATACACCCCTTACTGCTGATTGGATACAATTGCATTTTGGTGGTCGGTCCAATACACTTAACAACGTTTCTCAGAAATAGTTTGCTGCACCTTTAATTCAGCAAACTCCGTCAGTCACCTCTATGCCATACCGATCCACTGATATTATCTCTCCTTACCTGTATGCCTCCCTGGGGCAGGTGGCTCATATCCGGGCCGAGAGAGATATCCTGGTGGAGGCTGATGGCGCCTGGGTAGTTAAGATGTTCTACAGCTTTCAAGATAAACGCAATCTGTATCTCATCATGGAGTTTCTGCCTGGAGGTGAGGACAGATGTACAATGTCACATGTTCTTTACTGATATAACAGTGAGAGATTTAGAACTGAAAAAAGTACTAACAACAGTCTGTTCAAAGCAGCAATTTAGAAAGTCCTATTTTTAGAGCATCTGCCAGAGGCTGTAACTCTTGAGTGTGTGTTCAGGAGATATGATGACTCTACTGATGAAGAAAGACACTCTATCGGAAGAAGCCACGCAGTTTTATATCGCAGAGACGGTTCTGGCCATCGACTCCATTCACCAGCTGGGCTTCATTCACAGAGACATCAAACCTGACAACTTGCTGCTTGACTCCCGGGTGGGAATTCATCTTTATCTCTCTTATTTACTCACACAAACAAAAGAACTATCTTTATACTGAAATGAGTGTGTTTCTGGAAGGTTAATGTAGTCTAAAAAGGAATACCTCATAACAGACTGTCTTTATGATTTGTAGGGCCATGTCAAGCTGTCTGACTTTGGCCTCTGCACAGGCTTGAAGAAGGCCCATCGGACTGAATTTTATCGGAACCTCACGCACAACCCTCCCAGTGACTTCTGTGAGTAACCAACATATGTACACAAATTACACAGAGAAACGGTACTGATATATTCAGATCTTTTACTACAAAAAAATGAAGTCATATCATGAGAAATCAATTTACCATGACTATGAAAACAAACTACAACTGAGTGGTTCGCATACCAGGGAATCAGGACTCACTTGGGGGCCTCAACAAATTAAAAAAAAAAAATCACAAACTGCGATGGAAACAAAAGGGTTTAATCCCTTTAAAGAGTAAATCCTTCAATGTGCAACAAAAAAAAATGTTGTGACTGTACACCAGACATCCAAACGCAAGTTAGCATGACCGCATTAATTCTGTTTTGTCTGAGTGCTCTGACTGAGACTCAAATAGTTTACAATGTAGGAAAAAAGACCCATAGTGGCTTCCCTGATTGCAGCAACTTCCATTTTTATATTTTCCAGGAAATTGCTGGTTCTCTTGAACACAAGGGAGGAACGCTGCTTTATTCGCAAATGTTTTATGCGATAAGTTAAAAAAGCAACTTTGGATGGAAACATATTGTTATAAGTAGACATGAAGGGATAAAAAAGTATGAACCTTTTAAAGAAAAAAAATAACTGTATATTTGCTCTGCTTCAATCTCCTTTAGCCTTCCAAAACATGAATTCAAAGCGGAAAGCAGAAACATGGAAGAAGAACCGAAGACAGCTGGTAAGAGAGTGTTTTTGTGTTACAGAACAGACAATTCCTGATGCTATCAATTGGTCATTCCTCTCATATACAGGCATATTCAACTGTCGGGACGCCGGACTATATCGCCCCTGAGGTCTTCTTGCAGACGGGCTACAACAAGCTGTGTGACTGGTGGTCTCTTGGAGTGATAATGTATGAGATGTTGATAGGTTAGTAACTTCAAAACACTAAGTGAACATGTTCAGATCAGGCCAGTCGTCACTTTCTGTAAAAAGCCTTTTACTTTAGCCTTTTCCTGCACAGAAACAGGTGTTTGTTTTGTTTTCCTGTTCCAGGCTACCCACCCTTCTGTTCCGAGACGCCACAGGAAACCTACAGGAAGGTTATGAACTGGCGAGAAACGCTTATTTTCCCTCCAGAAGTCCCCATTTCAGAGAGAGCCAAGGACTTGATCCTTAGGTCAGAAACATTACCGTATCTGTTAAATCAGTCAAATCTTTTGTAAATCTGAACTTTTGAGGTTAAAATGATTGTTTTCTTCAAGTAACGAGTGTCAACGCTTTCAAAAATGCTTGTCATTACTTGAGATCATTTGAAATTTGATCTGACCAAACTGTATGATAATGTTTTTCAGGTATTGTACAGATGCAGAAAACAGGGTTGGATCAGTAAGTGTGGATGAAATCAAATCTCACCTTTTCTTTGAGTCCGTGGACTGGGAGCATATCAGGTACATCTGCACACACACCTTTCTGTGTTCTTTACATCATCGCAGTGTCGCCTAGAACGGCAAAAGCACTCAAAATGTTAATGTAATCAAGCTTTTTGTGTGCATGATCATAGAGAACCACTGTTTGAAGTTGATAACTAAAATGTAACTGTTTCACTGCTCACAGAGAGAGACCTGCTGCTATTTCCATTGACATCAAGAGCATTGATGATACATCCAACTTTGACGACTTTCCAGAGTCAGATATTCTACAGCCAGGTACCGTAAACCATTTTTGATAATAAGTTCAAACTTACAGACATACAATATGTGTAAAAATTACTTTGAATCGGCATTGAAATTGTACATCTCCACAAATTTAAGACCTGTTCACAACCAGAATAATCATAAAGATAGCTATATTATATAGTTAAGTGCTCAAAGTGGGCCAGTACGCAATCTTTAGAATACATATGTTGCCGACATCACACTACCCAGGGGGCACTACATGAATTATCTCTCATCTCGACACGTAATTGCAAGCAGAATCGGTCTACCCTATCAGAAGTTCTCTTTTATGATACTAATTTGAATAACCTAAATGAATGACATTGACAGCTAATGTAGAGGTTAGTCGTGCAAGGAATTCCGTATTACTATCATACAGTTCTTCTGTGATTACTATTTTAGCCTGGCTTCAGAAGGGGACCAAAAGGACGTGTGAGTCAGACACAGAACTTCAACCAGAGAAAATAACTTTAGACATCATCCGTGAGCAGAAAACTAAGCTAACCAGCGGTACTAATGAGAAGTTTGCTGTAGCAGAAGCGTAAACACCTAAAGCAGCAGCAAACGTTACTGCTACTACCACCACAGACAATGATGATGTTAACAATAACGTCAGTAACCATGAGTGGCCCGACTGTTGGCCGAGAGATCAAATTATGTATTTTGGCTGATTTTCAAATCATACGCTTGGCTCTAAAATATGTTTACTTTATGTATCAAATATATTTCAAATGTGATAATGATCCTGTGCTCGAGAGTACCAACACTTTTTTTCCCACTTCAAGCGCTCATTTACTTTACTAATATAAAGAGAACTTTATTAGCATCCACACCAACAGACGATGCCACTCTGTTTATCAGTGCACACTACAGTTATGTTGTCTGCCGCTTTAAATGCAGAGCTCTTTAATTTTATAAATGCATTTCATGTCTCTATTGGTTGTTCTGACTATCCTCTTCACCAATCATTTCAGTGACAAATGTAACAGAACCAGACTTCAAGTCCAAGGACTGGGTTTTCCTCAACTACACCTACAAACGCTTTGAGGGACTGACACAGCGTGGCACCATCCCCACTTACATGAAGGCGGGCAAGGCGTGAAACTGGAACAGATGGTCTGGAAGAGAAGGATTCGAATGTAAATGACAATTCATAATTATGCAGATATCTGCAGATGAAAAGCTTATGCACTGCCGCTTTGTGCTAAAGAGTAGACCTGTTCTCAGAGGAGTCCTTGGCGACGATAAAAAGGAAAATGAAAATAAAAAAAGCGTAATATATGGCCAAACATATGGAGAGATTATCTTGTCCTGCTGCTCAGCTAAAAGGAGACATAAAGTTTGTCCAAATGCTCTTCAACACTGGATCAAACAGGGTCACAGATTTAAAAAAAAAAAAAAAAAAAAAGGGAAGCATATACATCACTGAAGCCTTATGTTCAGTACATAGAGGATGTTTTAACCTCAAGCCTCTTAGGTGACAAAACTGCAATAATGTTGATTTCTCTGTTACTTTTTAGCTTCTTTGCCCCAGGAAGTTGAGAATCTGTATAGACCCAAACGAGATGCACATTGTTAGACATACTGTATACACTGTATAATATAGTTAACTACCTGATGCTGAATATTTCCCACTAGTGTATTTGTGCAGTTGTTTTGTTGTATGATATTGCAACCTACTGTACCTAGAAGAAACTTGATTAGGAGATGAACGTCAGCATTTCCTTTGCATTTCATCCACCCAAAGTCGTGTAGTTGATTCAGTTTTGTTTGAGTGTGAGCATTGTTCACCTATGCAACCATTTTTGTTGTTCTGTTGTAACTCATGCAAGATGTAGCTTCAATCAGTGTTTTTTTTTTTTTAAGGGAAGATCAATCATGATAAAAACGTGCCCTCCCAAGTTTTACAAATCTACAGGGTTTAAAAGGATACAATTGTTAAATTGCAAGAACATTTTAGCATGTTGTCTGCAAAATTAACAAACAAAACTTTAACCAAATAACAAGTACATAATGGTCAGTTAAGAACACAAATTGGTGAGTGAACTGGGTATGTTGTGTTTAAAGATGACAAGTTTTAGTGATAGAAAAAAGGTCATGGGTGTCGAAGTTTTTGAGTTATAATTTACAGTAAAAGACATCTCAGCAAGTAACATCATACATCACTCCAATAATTTCTTCATCCAAATTTAAACATCTCTTACTAGCTGTCTTAGTTGTTGAGGATACTTAGTATATTGAAATCATTCTGCTGTTGTGCATGACTACAAATGACTGGCCTAATGGAAAGCAAATGCTGTAGCGTATGTGTAAAAGATTGGTGCTGGTTTGTTTTTTTATTTAGTTTTTTTTTATTATTATTTAATATATTCACTTATGTTAATTTGTTATTTGTTAAATGGTGTAAAAATGTAAAAGCAAGAAATAAATGTTCAAAATATGGAAAGAATTCATGACTGAAAATCACCCTCTAGTGGTGATTTCTATAACTACAACACAACATGGGATTTATTTATTTATTTTTTCTTTTCAAAAGTTTACTCAAAGCTTCCTACAAATGTTTATATACTATATATAAATGTAATCATATAAGTCGATAGTTTGACAAATGAACGTGTATATGTAGCACACTGAGTGTGATTTCGTATTGGCTCAGCAGTGTTTGGGATCCGCCTATGTGCTCATGGCAGAGAGCTTCGGTAAACGCCGAAATTGATGTTGGGAGCGGCAGATTCACGTACTTTCGGTTTATTTTGAATGATCGTGTTGGTTGTTTTTTTATTTTATTTTTTTAGGTATAATAACCAGTCAGCACGATCGTTTCCAGCACCTAAAGTTCGATGAGTTCGACCGATTCATTTAAAAGAATTCTAGTTGTAATAGATCTGTTGATGTTCAGCGTAAGTTACTGTCTATGTTCGACACGTCGATAAACTATAGCGACTTTATTACATATGTTATAATATTTCTAGTTCTCAATGTGTTGTGGCAGAAAGTTTGTGTGCAGTTATTGTCTCTGCTGACGCGTGAAATCAGGTCATTTCCTCAATCTCTAGTCTAGTGTAATTTACTTGCTTTCTGCTAAATCTGTGCAGGACAACTTCTCAAGTCACACACATGTTGACATTAAACCCCACTTTTGACACTCAAAAAGATGTCATACCAAGCATTTTGGCGAAAGAGGAAAGAGCGAATATAGGTAAGAGGACTTAACAAATACATTTCTAAACTCATTAAATAATTATTATAATTTAATATAATGATTATTATACTATAATTACAATTATTATTGTTTATATATTGCTGAGGCATTCTTTGTTTATTTGAATTAATTTCTAAACATGCACAGATGATGTACTTGTTTAAAATGTGTGCAGGTGTTCTTGAGCCTCGCATTCTGAGTGTGGAGAGAGATGGAGGGGTCGTGTACTCTTGGAGAGTAAGTTTGGCCATAGTTTCACGTGTCACTTTAATTTGACAGGTCATGCGCGCGACGTTCCATTCATTGTTCACAATCTGTCGCCAGTCTACAGCACATGAGCAGAACTGCATCATGCCATACATACACAGACACTGTAGTAAATAAATAGCATACACGCAAAATGAATGTTAATGTGCTAACTTACTATTAACTTTTTTGCTCCTTTTGACTTTTTAAAGGTTATTTTTTTTAACTTACTGATTTCCCAATCATATGTTTAGGGGGCAACAGGAACTACAAGAATCGGGAAATATGATCCTCACAGTACAGAGAATAAGGTACAGAATGGATTACCATGTTGGAGATGAACATTGGGCCTGTAAATATGTAACTCCAACCATATTCAAATGATTATAAACTGAATATAAATTTACAGTGTAATATTCAAACTCTCGGGCCAGTTGCATAAACATAGCCATTATAACCAACTAACAGTTAGTTAGGGGTTATCAGTCTTACTTTTCGGTATCAAATTAGACCAACAAAGTTTTTATGTGCTGAAAGAACAAAATTTGGTGACTAATTTGTAAGACTAGTCTTAGCTGTTTATGCAACTGGGCCCCTGGTATATAAAAAAACATGATAAATGCACATCTATTCCAGTTTTCATGAATGAAGCTAAGCAAGGATCGTCTAACACACGTGTGGCTCTTGGGTTCACAGCTCCTCTACACTTTTGACAAGCAGGTGTGTGTCAGCAGCTGCTCTTTAAATAAAGAAGAAACACTCCTGGGTAAGACTGCTGACAAATATACGTACTGTAAATCAGTTTTTTTAGCAGTGACATGTATTGATGGTAGCATTTAATTTGGTTCATCATTATTACTTTTTGGGTTTGGGAAGGTGATTACTAATGTGAGCTTCTTTTGTGCTAGCGGTCAGTCTATCACAATCCACTCAGGGAGAAGGCCGCTTTAAACCAGGTACAGAATATCATTTATAACAATATGTCATTTACTGTTTTAATTGTTATTTATAGCAGGTTTCTCGACAGTGCGAGTGAAATGCTCTAAAAATCAATTGCGACTAAAAATCGATGTGTGTGAATAAAGTCCCCAGAGGTCCTTAAAAAATAAAATAAAAATCTGTTTTATTGCTACTAAAAATAGATTTGTGTGACAGTGTGAATAAAAAAGTCCCCACAGGTTCAGTTTTATGAAATGCAAGGTTGTAAAAAGTAAGGCATTTTATTTATAATTTTAAGAGGGCATATATGAAGAGTTCAGATGCAAAAGCCTCTAAATGCCATTTGAAATTTTCTTCTTTAATGATGATTTTTATCAAACTTGAATATTTAAGTTCAGTAATTTCACTTAAATTGCAATGATAATTACCTATTAATTGTTATTTAAGTGAAATTACTGAACTTAAATATATAAGTTTGATAAAAATCATCATTAAAGATGAAAATTTCAAATGGCATTTAGAGGCTTTTGCATCTGAACTCTTCATATATATATATATATATATATATATATATATATATATACAGTACACGTGCTGTTTACCTCCCTCATTTCCATGTTGCACACATTTTTTTATAATTAAATACACTGTGGGAATAAATAAAAATAAATGAAATAAGAATGAATAAAAGTTGAAAAGAATATAAATACAAGTATAAATACATATAAATACATTAAATTAGGCCTATAAACAATTACATACCGAAATGAATAAATACAGTTCAATAAAGCAGAAATACTTAAAAAGTATTTTTTTTTGTATTCTAATAAATTAAAATAATTAAGCTCATTTTGAATTTAACTTTACCTTAACTTTTTTTTTTTTATGTGCACATGTGCTCATTCAAATCGACTCTTTAATACATTCGACTGAACTCCACAATCTTGCATTTTTTTCATTTATTAGTTACAATTTTACATATTTTTATGAGACTGAATGGCATGATTGCCACAATGTTCTGTGTCTGAAATATTTTAATGGTTGGACCATTTGAGGAAGAAAAGACAGTTGCCGTTTTATACCATTATTTTTTCACTTCCCCTATTGGTTGCTGTCGTAACAGTAATGTAAATTAAATAAATGTGGCATAAGGATTTGTCCTATGTAAAAAAAAAGTTACATAACATACTTTTAATGGTTATTCGAGTTGTTTTTGTTTTAATTCAAGAGGCATATACGGGTGAAAATCAAAATGCAGCCAAAAAACAGAGAATCTAAATGTATATAAAGGAGTTTAGCAGGATAAAACTACTGAAATCAATGTGCAGAGATTCGCAGTCACACCGTCCAGATTATCCTTTAACTCCTGACATTGTTTCCTTTTTCCTTTAGTGTCAAAATGTTTAACACTTCTCATTGAAATACACCCAATCAACAACACAAAGGTCCTGAAAGCAGTGGATTGCAAGGTCAAAGTGCAGGTAATAAACATCCGTCATGTGAAGCCGGTGATGAAAAACACGTTACAGAATTCCTTGGCCCAGTTTTGATCACATTGATATTTTTTCTTATATTTCCCATGACCCCTTTCTAGTTTCTTTATCCTAAGACATGCCGGACCACCGTACTGGAGAGTCATTTGCTGTTGGCGGCAGAGGATGGCTGTATGTATTGTGAAAATGTTTCAGATACCATAAATATGCTTTATACATTGCTCATATTTTGTTCAAGCTACTAGTTTTATTGTGAATCATGAATGGTTATTTTATTTCTGCAGATGTTGATCTGTACCACATTACTCTGACGAGGCAGGAGGGCTACAGGGTGGTAAGCGCTGCTATGTGACATGCTGTGGAAATGATATTCATGACAAAAAGATGTTTAGTGATTAACTGATACTCGTACGCATCGAGGAAACACATGTACTTGTGCCGGTTTAAACAGGTGATGCTGAATCCGGAGCGTCTGAGCAGAGAGAGAGTGGCTGAGGAGTTCAGTTGGGTTCAGTGGGACACGGACACTCAAAGACTCTTTTACCTCACTGCACGGGTCACAATCTCTTTCAGTTCACTTTTTTAGTTTTTACTTGCCCTCGTTCTTTGCATCTTGAAAAAGAAACGTACTTTTTTCCAGTATGTGTAAGCCCTTTTTTTCTCCACCCTATAGGAGAAACACACACTAAAGTGTGTACAGTTTTTCACCGATCGCAACTTTGAGACCACGGTAAACATTTTTGTGCATCATAATTAGAGAATCTGATTAATTAAAACAACTAATGCTTGTATGTTCAACAGTTTGAGCTTCCATTGGAGATCCCTAAAATTTCTTCAGTCACTTCTGTGAGGTCAGTGACTTAATTTGCTGTTAAAACATACAAAATAGCTCATTATACATAAAAACAGAACCATACGAGGGTGACAACCCTATGAAACAAGAATTAAGCTGTGTTTTTGGATTGTACAGGTTTGTTAACTTTGGGTATGACCATTATCAGGACCTGAAGGATGAGGGTGTCAGGTTAGAGGTGTTCACCAGCCAATCAGGCAAGTTACTTAGCATGTGCTCTTTAACACTAACTCATACTGTGAAATACTAACACATTTAATGCATATTTACCTGTTTTTTCCCCACTTTTTTTTATTTATCATGGGATAGAGAGTAAGTTTTTTCTGCTTTTTAGCACATATTGATAATCATAAAGACGCTTCACTTTGTTAATAAAAGCTGGCATATAATCAGATCCTGATATCGCCTACTGTAAATTGCCAAATGCTTTAAATCGCCGACATGATTTATGCTGATTTGCATTTTAGCTGTATTGGCGTGTGTGTGTGACATCTAATTGATTTGATTTGAACTGATGTAAGTTGCTGTTCTGAATCTCTGATTGTTTTTGAAAGGAACCATGTGTGTGTGCTACAGTCATCCGGTGCGCTGGCATAAGGACGCCACATACACCATCGCATTTGTGCACAAAGGTACAAACCATCATGCAAAAGTGATTTAAGCATTCGCATAGATCATTATATAAAGGATTAAATCGACTCTTTGATAGGTTGCAGTAAGACGTTCACTGTATCACTAGAGAAAGGCTCTGCGCCTGCTAATTTGCCAACCGTCCATCCTATCTTCATTCATCTGGGTCAGTACAGCCATCATCACTCATTGATTTAACCCACAGAAATCTATCCAAGCCAGTCTGCAATTCTCTTTTTCATTCAAAGAGAGAAAGTCATTGATCTGAAATAGTGTCAAGGGTAATTTTCTTGGTTTTTTGATGATTTATTTGCTTCAGATTATTATATAGTGGTGTACCTGGCTGATCATTTCCTGCACCTGATCAACTGCAGGCAACAAGACTTGCTTTGTTATAGTCTTTTCTTATCAGGTAAGGACTCATATTTCCAGTATTTCGTTTTGTTTTTTGTTGTTGTGTGTATTTTTTTTGTTTTGTTTTTAGTGTTGTTGTTTGTTTTGTTATTTGTGTTGTTGTGTTGTGGTTTTGTTAGGATTCGTTTTTTGTTTTTGGTTTGTGTCTTTTTTTGGGGGGGGATTGTTTTTGATGATGTGTTTTGTTTTTTGTTTGGGTTAGTTTTTGCTGTTTGTTTTGTTTAGTGTGTTTTTTTTTGGGGGGGGGGGTGTTTTTGATGCTGTGTTTTGTTTTTTGTTAGGGTTAGTTTTTGCTTTTTGTTTTGTTTAGCGTTTTTTGTTTTGGGTTCTGTTTTGTGTTTTGTTAGGGTTAGTTTTTTGTGTTTTGTTTTCATTTGAACTATTGCAGTATTATTTGGAAATTTCAGATTATTTTCACTTTTGCATCATTTAGGTAAAAACCAGTTGTAATTTTGTTTACATTACTATTTTTCTTTGTGTTTTTTTATTTTTTTTATTTTGTGTAATGCATGATATACTTACTTAGGGCTGGCCAATATGAATGATATATTTAACTTATTTTTGGGGTGTTTTATAACTTTAACATAATATGTCCTTGATACATTTGCTTAAACTGATATTGCAGTACTAACCCATTCACCTGTATTTTGTGTGTTTTCTGTGTGTATTACCTTACTCTATGCTCTCTCACAGGGGCAGATGGTCATATTGAAGCACTGGGTTCGGGCAGTGAGGTTGTGAGTATGTCTGGCAGCAGAATGCTTGATGCCCGAGCTGGCAGGATGTACACCATGGAACTCAACCCTGACTTCCTGCTTGAGCTTCTCAGTTCAGACAGGCCTGAGGCCCAACGGCTCGCTGCCCTGCACTGCATGCTGGTCTACCTGCAGCCAAATCCTGTGATAGAGCTCAAGGTGAGAGAGAGAGAGAGAGAGAGAGAGATTTGTAACAAGGATATGTGCTGGAAACACATGTGTGATTCTCATTTATCTTTCGGCCCAGATTATAAACTGGATCAGTGAGAATGTCATGAGCTTTGATGCTTTTGATCAGATTCAGGAGTTCATTCTAGGTGAGTGCGTTTGTGTTCATGTGGATTTGCATGCTAAAGTAGTGTTAGAAATAACTGTATAACTCTCATTTCAGCCTCCCTGTACAGAATAAGCTACCAGCAGTGTGTGAGCCTAGATAAATTGTTGCCATACTCTTGTGTGCTTGAGAAGAAGGTAAACTATGGTTTTGTACTTCTTTATTATTTATTTCAAAGGTGCACGGAGTACTTTATCCACTCATAAAAAGCTTTAACATTACTTATTTTAAAATATATTTTGTGATTTCTATCTGTTTAATGTAAGCTTAAAAGAAGATCTTATGTTTTTGTTTTTTTTCATTCGTGAGTCGTGTCACTTGCATTTCTAGGAGCTTCCGGTGGCTCTGACGGCAATCCCTGGGGTGAAATGCACCCCTGAACTGCTCTGTCAGCCAATAATCAAAGGCAAGGTAAGATATGCTCTCTAGTCAATAGTCCACATGCATTTATATATTTCATAAAATATTATTTGCGTGCACAACAGGAGGGCATGTTTAAAATCAGACAGCATTTCAGATGTGGGGATGTGTTTATGCATTTAATTCAATTTAGCTGTTAGGATTATGATAACTGTTTAAAATTAAAGTCAAATTTTATCCAATTTACTTTAATACATGTTCCTAAGCATATTGTACATAATTCACATATGTAACAGGTGAAATGACTTACAAATAAACTTGAAGAGCAGCAGTTTACCAACTCAACACTAGGTGGCAGGAGAGTCTCAAATCCTAGTACAGACATTAGATGTCTAATTCGTTAAATCTGCTTGGGAGAGGTGTTGGAGGGAAACACATCAACAGGAAATGTTTGAGTTGTGAAATAGATTTAAACTGTCAGCTGAAACCAAAAATTGACTGGGCTTCAGTCCAGATCGATTCTTCATATTTTGGCCTTTATTTGACGAAAGGGAACACTTACACTTGCTGCACTGCTTTATCTATGAAAAATCTGTTTTGGAAATCTTATTTTGTGATAATGTTTTAATTGTGGTTGAAGGCTAAAAGCCTGCAGGGTTACTGGGAGGAGCTACAGCATGTTTTGGACAGGATGAAGTACTTTGAGGCGGTACCGAACCCACGCTTCAGGACCAATCTGATTAAGGAGGACTGGATCAGATCTCAGGCTGCTATGGTGACCACACATTATGCATCAGGACATACACAAAGCATTCTAAACGTCACTAAAATTTGTTAAAATGTTTATTCTAATTGGTCAAAAACTTTTATTGTGTACTGTGTTATTTCTAAAATCTGATTAGTGCCTATTATTGACTGGTCTGAACCTAGGATTATAGCCTACTAGAACTACCATATGTTTTATAATATCCATGTTTGTTATTGCTGCAGAACTCGGAGAAGAAGAAATCTCCCCACTCTTATCGCCAAATTGAGGAGAACACAAAAAAGTGGGTGGAGTTCAGCATGTACTGAATGCTATGTGTGCATGACTGGGAAAGCAAGAAGAGCATGTTATACTTTCAAAACAGAATAACAAGACCATTTTCAGTACATCTAATAATTTTTCTATGTAAAATGAACTACAGAAATTGCTTTTTTATATCTTATCTATATCTATCTGAGCTGAGTGTGTTTGTTGTTAATGTTTGATCGGACTAAGGCAAATGAAACGCAGCTTGATGCAATTTAAATGTCTCTTTTGTGTCTTATATGCAGAGTTCTGTCCATGGTGGACACCTGGCGTTTGGGTTAGTGAAACTTTTTTTTTTAAACAAAAGTACACTTGTGAGATTATTATTCCCTGTTAAATATCCTGGAAATATTTCAGACTGGAGTTTCAGGGTCACATTCTCTGGTTTGAATGTAATCGGTCTCCAGGTTTATGTGTAGTTGATCAAGAACCTTGTTAAAAAACGAGGGAAATGGGAGGAGGAATTCCATAGTGTTGTATAAGACTGATTACAGTACCTCCTCCCTACTCACAAAACACACACTCACACACACACAAAACAAATCTACCGTGTTATCTTAATACCTTTTAGGACAGGATGTTTCTTTCACTTAAAGCTTGTCAGTCCCCACACAGCTTATTTTTCAGTTCCTACATATAGAATCTAAATAGACAGAAATATTATGGTAGGTCAGCTCTGACGTTTATAGGAATATTTCATCCAAAATGAAAATCTGTCATCATTTACTGATCATTATTTTGGTCCAAACCTGTATGACTTACATCTGTGGAACACTAAAGAAGATGCTTTGGAGAATGTTAACGCTGCTCTATTCAGTGACCAAGAGTCCAACGTTTAAATGAGCACTTGTGTGAATGAGATTTGAAGCTGTATGAGTTTGAAAGTACTTGAAGTGAGTAAATGATGACAGGTTTGTGTAAACTACACTCTCAATTCCTCGCTCACCTTCTTTCCGTCCTTTCAGATAGGCGTGTAGTTCCACTGTTTCAGGAGGAAGACCAACAGCAGAGGGTGCTGGTGGGCCTGGTGAGTGGTCAGCCTGTCAGTTTTCCAGCATCCAGCAGCACCTGTAACTCTCAACACAAAATCAGCTGACATATCATAGGTCAAAGAAGCGGAAATCAGATTGAATAGGCATGATCATTATACAAACCTTTAGAATGACAGTGAGGATAAAACCTAAAAGCCCTAATCACATCCTTAAAATGTTCTTGTGACTGCAGTAGTCCTCAAGATGCATTATTCTTATTCACACCACTCAATACAAATCTAAAATGGACCAAAATAAGAAGTGAGTCATCCATTTAGATACATCCGTTTTAGGGCTTAATTTGCAGCGTTCACTGGTTTAAATTATTTATCTATTTGTGTTCTTTTTTTCTCTTTTTTTCTAAATGCTATATTCCTGCTCTTGTCAGCTTGGTGTTTATTTTATTTTTATTTTTTTAGTTTTGGCAATAATGACCAGCAGACTGTACAGATCTTAATTTGTCAAGCATTATATTACATTTTAATGATACTATTATATTGTAATTTTGAAACCTGTGTTTAAAATAGGCTTAAATTACGGTTTTGACTTTGTTCTCAAGGTTTATATATTTGTCTTTTTCAGATGGTGGACAAACTCCGAGAACACTTGAACAGACATTTATCACGATTAGGGAAGAAAAAGATTGATTTGCTGGTGGTGAATTATGCTGCAAAGCTAGTATGTGTTTGTGCTCTTACATCATTACGCTAGAGATCTCTTGCAGATGCAATACACGTGTTAGCAATTGGCAACTGCAAGACAAATATCTGTCGACACAAAACCGCGCTAAACCTTAAGCCAAGTGCACACTGCAAGACTAAAGCTTGTGACCCTTTCTGTGAGTAGTTTGCTACAAGAAGTTCCAGATTAATTGATACACCTCATCTGCATTTAGATTGTAAATTGCGGTCTAATATTAGTCTTTAAGGGTGACGACCTACTATCTTGTAGTGTGCACTTGGTGTTTTTGAATGAACTCTTATCCTTTTGCCAAAACATAGTTATCTCTTTCCTGCTGGGAATATTGGAACAGACCCCCATAATGTGCTGCCCTTCTATTACGTTAGGGAAGAAAAGTTCAGATAAGTTTCCACCAAATTCAGGAGACCAGAGGGGAAGCAGATGGACGTTTAGTGGTTTTTCCTGTTATCAGATCAGGGCGAGCATGGGGATGTGAGAAGGCATGCGTGATCTGCCTAGTGTAAGCGCATGTTAGAGTTAGTGAACTTGCTCAAGTGAAACTAAAGTGAGCAGGGGTGGTGCTCGTGAATTTGTGCTTTCTGTAAAAACAGGAAGGGAAAGTGAGTCAGATTGTCCAATACACTCTCTGACAGTCACTTGAGGACAGCAAAAGTTTATTTCCACTAAACATCCTCATAGATTCTTAGTATGGTTTGTGGTCTTTCTGCTTCTGCTTTTTGTCTAATATATGGCTGTATTCTCTGTTTAGCTGGAACTGATCTGGCATGTGTTGGAAGTGGTATGGCAGAAGCTGAAGTTGGGCCCCTGGGTGCTCTGCATGTACGTGTACTGTACCTATCCATGTTTTACTTCCTCATTGAGAGTGCTTGATTGTTTGAATCTAAAGCCTTCGATTCTTGTTTCTGTTCTAGTAAGCAGCAGGGTAGTTCAGAAGAGTGGGCAATGTTTCATGTGATGTTTCGGATTCTCGAAGCAACTAAAGGGCTTTGTCTCCCACTCCCCCCAGGTAAGAGGAAGCCTGAATTAGACAATCTGACTGCATTTAGAAAACAGGCTTTTTGTCTACTACCTACATAAAAAGCTGCCTATTAAGACAGAATCCATAAGCGACAATCTAAATGAGCAGGAACTCACACAAATATCCCTCCTCACATGAAGTGACTCCAACTTATTCCAATAGAGTTTGATGTTAGCATGTAGGTACTACATTGGATTTTGGTAAGTAAGAACTTTGCGACTATAGAAAATGATGTTCTTTATCAGGGATGTCCAAACTCGGTCCTTGAGGGCTGGCGTCCTGCAGAGTTTAGCGCCAACTTGCCTCAACAGACCCACCTGGAAGTTTCTAGTATGACGATAGTAACCTTGATTAGCTGGTTCAGGTGTGTTTAATTGGGGTTGGTTGGAGCTGAAGTCTGCAGGACAATGTGGGCTAGGATTGGAGTTGGACACCCCTGTTCTATATAGTATGAATGTAATCCCGGCGTTCTACATCTGCCATGTAACCTGTCAAACCGATCGTCAGATGTGCACTTCAGAATCTGGGCAGAAGTAGTAATGCTATTTTTTTGAATAGCATTGATTCTGACATGCTACTCATTTCACATACTACTTTTTGCTTACTATATAGTTGGGAAGTAGGCATATTTGAATGCAGGGATAGACAAATTGACAATTTTAGCTAAATTTTTCCCATTGGGCTTGGTTTACTGCTTTCTCTACAAAATTCTGCATTAAATTGTTTGCATAAATTAAAAGTTTTGAATAATGTCTAGCTACTCACTGGGTTTTACAGAGCTAATATTCTTATACAGTAAGAAAAATTGAGCTGCTGTGTTTTCTTTCCATGTTTATAGACTTTTAGAGATTTTTTAATGATGCCGAAAGGAAAAAGTACCTTTAGTTCTCCTATCCTATGCTAGGCCAAAGACATTTGAACCCTCTGAAGATTAATCAAATGAGCATCTCTCCAAAATCCAAATGAATTCCATATAGTTTAGCTGCTGGGTGTGTCAGATTTGACAGATTCTACGACCCAGTGAGGGAAAAAAGCTGTTTCTGAAATCTGAAGTGTGCCAGATCTGTGTGGGTGGATCCACTCTTTGACACAAATGATTTGGCGTGGGCTCAGACCCGTCTGGAAGATGATTTAGACAGAAATCATTGACTTCTTCAGTTCTGTCCACTCTGTCCATTACATAACTGGTTAAACTAGTTAAATCAGAAAAGTGGTTTATTACGCGTGCATTTATTCCTAGGTTATTCTACACTGTTAAGTGTCCTCGGAGTCCGGTGTCTCCCACGGCACACTTTCCTCCAATATGTGGACCACGGCCTTCTTCAGCTCACAGAACCATTCGTTTCACGCCTTATGACAGGTACTAATTTAACCATACGCATTTATATCATGTTCCTAAAAGCTGTCTATTTATATATTGTGTGTACATATACAATAGGTAGACTTCACCCGTCACCTATGAACTTTTTCCTACAGCATATTCATGGTCTCTATTAAGGACTCAAATAGGCAAAAACCTGACCTGGAGAAAATTTGTTAGATTTGAATCAAAAAGTGCCTTTAGATTTAAAAAAAAATGTCCACATTATCCAAAAAACAAGGGTCATTTAGGAGCCAGTGCTTTATTTTAAGGTCAATTTTACAGTATGTTGTCTCTCTCTCTCTACTGTACCTCATGACAGGTTTAGACAACAGTGATGCCAATGAGCAGCTGAAGTTCAGTATATTGAAGAGACTTCCAGAGGTAACTTTCCTACTTGACTCTTCTCTTGAAATATTTGCCTTGTAAAGTCCTGGTTCCAGTCACAATGTGGAGATGCTTTATTATCCTGTGTAGAAGAAAAGGAATGTGAGCATGTTTGTGGTTATGTCTTGAGTCACAGGATATGCTTGGGCTACAGTCTTTGTTTTCTAGTCTTAAGGCAGCCAAGTGAGAAAGTGCCGCAGGAGTATTACAAAAATACAAGCCAATTTCCAGCTTAGTGATTAGTCTTGCTGTTTTCAATGGTAGTGCAGTCATCCATTCTGATTTGCAACCTCATTGGACTGTTTTGGAAACATTTTGGTTCCTAGAGTCATTTTGAATGATTCAACACAGTGCATGTTATTTCAAAGAATCAAAATTTCTCTTAGGAATCTTTTATCAAAATATAACTTACTCTGGGAGTTATAGGAAAATGTTAACCAATTGCCAACCAGCTACAGGCTACAGCAATGCAGCTTTTCTAAAATGCTTACAGTAGTTAAAAGTATTTAAAGGCCAGATAATGTTATTGTGATAAAGGTTACAACAATAATGGCAAATACTGTAAAAAACCTTCTCAAAAGTTGGTGCCGGCTGTGCCATTCTGGTATGGAACTCCCTCTTTTCAAAATCAAATCGGTTCCTGAAGTCCTATCTAAGATTTCCGCTCAATGAATATCCTTTTTGAATCACAAATGTCACATTATGGAAGTAAAATGGTTTGTGAATGCAATTTGATGTTGATTATTATGTTTTTGTAATTAGCATATAGAGCAGAAAGTGAGCCAGCGGTGGGATCACCCCCTCACCTCTGCGTGCATCTCTAGAGAATACGTCAGGACTCTGTTGGACAAACACCCAGAGAGCAGGGTAAATATGGCAAGGAGTGTCTCTTTTTTATTTTTTTAAACACAACTGCATAAAAGAGGTTTGAATATCTGCCAAACAACTGAAACTAATACTTGGATGAAACGGCTTATTAGACTTGACGCTGAATGAAATATGACTGCTGTTTCAGACATTGTATTTTTTTCCTGAACAAAGAATAACATGTTTTAATTCTTAGGAATCTGAATCATGATCTTGCCTTTTTGATCAGAGCAAATGCTCCCATGTTTACCAACTAAACACATGCTCTTTTTTAGGACTCTGTACTGTTGGACTATGGCAAGTCAAGTTTCTATCCTGACTTTCTGCCTCTAAACTACCTCGCCAAGATTCTCTCAAACAGGGAAGAACAAGGTACATGGTTTCAGAGATAATTTCATAAAATATGTTCTGGGTTAGTAAATGTTATTATTTACTGTAAGGTAATGATCGTGTGGGTGTTGTATTTCAGCTCAGAACCCTTTTGAAGAGCAGGAGAATGTGGATGTCAGGTTTGTGGAGGAGACGGCTTTAAAGCAGACTCTAATCAAGCTGGGCTTCGAAGTCAAGTAAAAACAGCCAAGTACAACTGAAAAGTTGTAAAAACAGAAAGAAACATGTTTGGCCCCTGGCCAAAGTACAAAGCTTGGTTAATTTAGGTGTCTGTATTAATGTAATAATGTAATAAATTTCTGTTTTTGGGAGGTCATACAAGAAACTGAAGCACAAAATCAAGCTGTTGACCAAAGATTATTTCCTGGCTGTCAGTCTGCTCTGTAAATATCTGTTCCCATTCAGGGAACTTCGAGCTGCGTGTAAACGCCGTGGGAACGCCTCTGCGTGACGAGTCATGAAGCACGTATGAAATCTGTCCAATGGCGAGACGGAACGTCATAGGCGGGGTGACGTATCGACCAGGAAACTATAAAGCATCCCCGAAACACAAGCGCAACAGCTTCTGAGTCTTCACAAGCGCTCTATGTATGAATATTGTCTGTCTGTCTGATATTGTATATATATATATATTGGAAAATATGGCGAGCAAACAACAGCAGAATTTCAGAAAGTGTGTTCATCCCT